CTGGCAGGGCTGCGGATGGCAGGCAGGAGCTCTGGACAGGAGTGGTCCCGGGAGTCGTTGGGCTCGGCCCTGGGCTCGGTGTTGCCTGGCCCCGTGTCAGTGTCATGCGTGGGGGACAGAGTGACGGAGATCCCGGGGACCTCGGAGCAGTGCGGGAGCGAAGGCTGCAGCCGGCCGTGGTGCCCGTGCGGTGCGGGAACCCCCGGGCCAGCTGGACGGTCCCTGCTCGTCCGTGAGCTGGCGCCGTGCTGAGGGCGCCCTGTGGCTCCCGGGGCCGCCCTTTGGGAAGGCACTGCCCGGGAGCGGCCCCAGGCGGGTGGCGCTGAGGAGGGACCTCAGCCCCCGGCGGCGGCGGCGGCGGCAAAGGACCGGCCGGTGCCGGGCGGGGCAGGGTACGGACAGGGCGCCGCCGCGGGGGCCTCGGGGCCGGGCGCGGGTCACTGCAGGAGAACGGCCTGATGCAGGGCTTGGTCCGGGTAGTGGGATCCGTGCGGACGGGGGCGGAGGCGGACAGGGCTGCGCGGGGTCTTGGCGAGGTCCGTGCGGGTCCGTGCGGGTCCGTGCGGGTCCGTGCGGGTCCGTGCGGGTCCGTGCGGGTCCGTGCGGGTCCGTGCGGGCGGGGGCGGACAGGGCTGCGCGGCGCCGCCAGGGGGCGGTAACGGGCCGGGAGGGCTCCGGTGGGGGTGTGCCCCTCCCGGCCCCGCACCGGGGCTCGCCGGTGCCGCTGTCCCGCGGGGACCCGGTCCCACCGCCAGCGCGGCGCGGGCCGGGCCCCGCGGGACCGCGGATCCATGTGCTCCACCTGGGACCCACCCTGGGGCTGGCACTCTCCCGGGGGCTGCGCGTGGGGCGGCTGCCCCCGTGCCCGGTGCGCTGCCCGTGGGGCAGCCGCCCTGGCCCGAGAGGGCACCGGAACATCCATCCCCACCGCGCAGCCCCTCCGTGTCCCGGGCGCTCGGGCTCGGCGTCAGTAGCCATGGGAACCAACCAGTTAAGGAGCCTCTCGTTGCCATGGAAACCGGTCCCGGTGTCACCCTTGCCGTGGCTCTCGGTGCTGAGGGGGTTCAGCAGCTCTCTCGCCCCCCTGGGGTCACGGGGCTGTGGGCCATAAGTCATGGACAGGGTTCTGTGGGGCAGTCGTGTGAGGCTGGCCCCGGGTGGGAGGGGAGGCCTGAGGGGGCTTGGGTAGAGTAGGGACCCCAGCAGCCCTGGCTGCACCCCCCTGCAGGGCCCCTGCCGAGAAGAGCTGGGGCACAAGGGAGGGGCAGGACCCCCACCTGGGGCACCGAGCACAGAGGGTACATGTGAGGGACAGGGGCTGCTGAGGAGGCTCCCCCAGCCCTCCCATCTCCTCCAGCCCCCTCGCAGACACTCAGGTCAGGTTTGTGAAGACTGGGTGCCCTTGGGGTATCATTAGATGAGCCAAGGGTGTGCAGCAGCTAGAGGCCCGTGATGTGGGGGGGTGGGATGCTGCCAGGGGGCTGGAGCAGCCAAAGCCCCATCTGCTGCCTGCAGTAGCTTTCCCAAAGAGTCTCCATGCCACTGAACACACCACAGGTGCTTCAGTGGGGTGCCAAGAGTGGAGGTCCTTGCATGGGCTGTGTGGCTGAGGGAGGGCTGCCATGTGGGACACAGGACACTTCAGTGCCTCATCAGCTGATCCTGCACCCAAACCCTTCTGGCAGCGGCTGGCAAGTGGCCATGCAGCTGTTCCTCAGCCATCACTGGGCCCTCTGGCCCTGGCTCAGCAGTGGCTGCCTGGAATCCCCAGGGTACTGCAACTGGCACAGGGCTGCCTGGGGGCTCCTCAGCTGCGTCTCCAGGAGCAGGGCCTGGTGGGAGGAGGCTGCCTCTGCTGCTAATCCCTGTGCCAGGCTGCCCAGCCGCCCACTGCCATGGCCCTGCTGCTGGCAAGACATCTGGGCAAGGGCAGCTGGGGATGCTGCGCCAGCTGCACACTGTGCTGGGCTCCCGTGACGCAGGAGCTCACAGCCCTGCCCCATGGCTCTGCCAGCCCTGCCCCACTGCTGCCCTTCTGCTCTCAGCCTCAGGCAGCTGCAGTGGCTCCCATGGCTCCCCACCCAGCCCCACGGGACGCTGTACCTCCCTCCATGGTGTCAAGTCCCAGCTGGTGCCCGTGTCAGCTCTGGGTTCTGCTTTTGCCCCGTGCTGATGGCAGGGCCTTGACCTGTCTGGATGGAGATGAACAAGAGCACTGCATCCTGCCAAGGCGCTGCGGGATGTGTTGCCCCTGGGCTCATGGGGCTGTCAGGACAGCGTGGTGAGGGCACACTGTGATGCAAAACCCCTGCTACGACATTTGGCTGGCATCACTGCACTTCTGTCCTGCTGCACCTCCATCGTCTTGCGGTCTCTCCTGCCCCAGCTCTTCTTTTTCCTGGGAGCTGCTTGTCCTCATGCCTCAAGCCCTCAGTGTGGGGTGTCCCATCTTGGCAGGATGTCGATGGGCAGGCTGTTGACAGTGCCCAGGGATCACAGCAGTGCAATGTGCTGACCAGCATCTCCTCAGCACAGCCGCCCTCACTGCCCGGGTGGCACACTGCCAGGCTGCCCGCTCCCTGCCCTCAGGAGGTTTCCCAGTGAATCCAGCACGTGTCTCGCTCCTGGGAGGTTTGACCGCTGCTGGTAATAGGACAGGCAAGGGCTGTGTGGCCAGCGGCCAGGATTCTGGCCCTGGGAACGTCTGTGAGAACCATTCCCCCCACCCAGGCTCTGTGCAGAGGGCTCTGGGACATTCTCAGGAGTCTCTGCAGGGGTACAGGACATTTTGCAGGGATGCTTCTTGGCTTGGCCACTCTCCGTCGTCATTCCTGGGCAGGCTCTTGCAGTTAAGTGGGGCACTGATGCTCTGCCTGGCCTGGTGCCAGCATCCTGCCTGCTACTCGGACTCAGGGGCCACTTGCAGTTGAGCCCCCACTCCATGGCCAGGGAAAAGTGTCGGTCTTCCTCTTTCCCCACGCCCTTATGCTGCCTGCAGCATGACTGGTGACATGGATGATGCCCAAACTGTGCCAGACCTCTCTCCTTTCGACACACCAGATACACCAGTCATGGGCATTTTGGCCGGGTTTAAGGCCAGTGCTCTGCTGGGGGATCAAGCCCCCTCAGTCTCCTCTGCCTCAGAGACACTCTCAGTTTGTCCCCACATGCTGATGGGACCCGGTGCACAGGATAAGCCAATGCAGTCTTGATAGCGTAGCCCCCTGTGCTGCCGTCAAATCCCAACCCCTGAAATGGAGCCATAATCCAGGGATTAGGGGATTAATGGTCTTTCACGTGCTCCCTCCCCCGCATCTGTTTTAGTAGGAAAATCCCTCTTGTGCCGAGCCCACGCGCTGTGGCCTCCTGCAAAAAACCACCCTCTGGTGCTTGGCACTCACCATGGCTGGCTGGACCCTGGCCTGCTGCCCTCCTGGCCAGCCACAGGCTCCTTAGGGGGCGTTGGGGGTGCCCTCTGACTTCCCAGGCCATCATGAGACGGTGGTTTTGCCCACTACATCCTTTCTGCAACCCCTTCCTTCCAGTCCCAGCCCTTGGGAGTGGGCCAGCCCCTTGCTCCAGCGCTGGCTGCTGCTCAGGGCTGAGGGATGCAGGAGTGAGGGGTTGGTGCTGCTGCAGCTGGACCGGGGCAGCCCCGTGTGATGACTGCCACACAGCGTCCTGGGTAGGGGGTGCCCACGCTGAGTTGCCCACCCTGAACTGCCCATCTTCCCTGCAGCCCTCCTGTGCCACCTGCCATGGAGCTGGAGCTGTGCTGCTGCAGCTCCCCAGGGATGCCAGGTCCCGGGCTGCAGCCATAGGGCAGGGATCAGTGCTGCCTGCCAGGCTGGGGTGAGGGGTCTGAGCCTCTCTCCCGGCCGCGAGGTCAGGCTGGGGAGCATCCGTGCTGCGGAGCAGCTGGCTCCGCACCAGGAGAAAGTAAACAATTAATTACAGCCGTCAAGAAGTAACGGAGGCCAGCGGGCTGTCATGATCTCAGACTGTGCTGGAGGAGATGCCGGGAGCTGCAGCCAGCTCCGGTTGGGGGATCCTCCTGGATTAAGTGCATGAGAAAACAGGGGGCTTCAGGCAGCCCTGCAGGGTCCCTCTACAACCCCAGCTCAAGAGTGGCCTGTGCCCCGGCCCTGTGGGTGACAGCTGCAAGAGCTGTGGCCCCGTAGATGGCACAGGGCCTGGGGATTTGGCCCCATTGCATCCCTTCACCAGGTCTGAGAAGGTTGTTATGGGTGTGATCTTGGCCCTCTGGTCACCAGGGGAGGTGACATCAAGCTTGATCCCCTGTGCAGGCAGCATTCCCTGTGCTACAGGTCAGCTGGGCAGAGCAGGGTCAGTCACCTCTGCTGTCTCCCCAGCCCCACTGTGGGGTGGTCTGGACGTTCCCCCCTCCCCGGGTGCCCTGGGTCGTCCTACTACTGGGGCAGGAGTCTCCATCCACGGCCAAGGCCCCGATGCCCGCAGAGGGCTCCCCTGCATGCCATGGTGCTGCCCACCCGGGAGCCGCCCCCACCTGGGAACCACCCGTCGTGGGGCAAGGGCCTCGCAGGCAGGGGCTGCCTTCATCCCGGGCCTCAGCTGCCTCTGAGGCGTCCGTCCCGCAGGCAGAGGTTCTGCCCCTCTGTGCACCCCGAGTGTGTTCCAGGTCCCGAGGCTGCGTCGGGCTCCGGTGCGGGCGCCGGTGCGGGGTGCGGGCGCTGGCGGCGGATGCGGGGCCGGTGCGGGGTGCGGGGGCTGGAGGCGGGGTTCGGGGCCGGGGCGGGTGCAGGGTCGGTGCGGTTGCGGGGCCGTCCCGTCTCGTCCCGCCCGCTCCAGGCGGGCCCGCAGCGCTGCCCTAGTTCCCCCCCACGCCTGGCGCAGCCGGGAGGCGGCCCCGCTCTGCTCGCTGCTCTTTGTGCCCCCCCGCGCCGCCGAGCCCCCCCCTCCCCGCCGCGGCGGGGGCAATGCCTCCCGCATACGTGATGAAGCGGGCGGCCGGGCTGGGCTCCGCCGGCAGCAGCCGTGAGCCGTGAGCCCGGGCGCCTCCGCACTGCAGCCCCCTCCCACCGGCGCGGGGGGCGGCGCGGGGACGCGGCTGCTGCGGAGCGAGAGCTCCAGCTCCGGCGGCAGCGAGCGGCCGCGGCACCGGCGCCATGCTGAACAACCTGACCGACTGCGAGGACGGCGACGGCGGCGCCAGCCAAGGTGAGGCACCGGCATCGGCACCGACGAGCGGGACGGCCCGGGGCGGCCGCCCCCGCCGGGCGCGGGGCAGAAGCGGCGCGGAGCCGGGGGCAGCGGGGGCGGAGGGTGCCGTGCCGCGGGGCGAGCGGGAGGCACCGACACCGGCCGCGACGGCGGCTCTCGGCCGGCGGCCCCGCGGGGCTGCGGCGGGCGGTGCGGGGATGCTCCCGCTCCCGGCGCCTCCGCGCAGCCCCGGCCGCACTCCCGCCGCTGCGGCAGCCCCGGGAAGCGGCGGTGCGGCCGAGCCGTGCGGGGCTCACCGAGGAGGCTCCGCCGGGGCGGGGGCTGCTTGCTGTGCTCCGAGCGACCCTGCGGGGCTGGCCCCGCCGCTTCCCGGACAGCCCTTGCCAGTCGCCGCACCAGTCCCACTGCCGCCCGCCCGGGATCCCCGCAAAGGTCCCCGCATCCAATTGCCGGCCCCCCACCCCTGCCTCCCGCATCTCCGCTGCAGCCCCCCCCCCCAGTCCTCTCCTCTGCCGCCCCCCATCTCCGGCAGCCGCCTCCCCATCCCGGGCAGCCGCCCCCCGCTCCCTTCTCCGCTCCCGCCCCCCACTCCCTGCCCTCCCCCGTCCCCCGCCGCAGGGGCCGCCGCTGTCCGCGGTGCTGAAGTGGCCGCCCGGGCCCTGCTCCGGGGCCGCAGGAGCCGTTCGTCCCGGGGCCGAGCCCAGCCGAGGCGAAGCGAGCCCAGCTGAGCCAAAGTGAGCCCTGTCGAGCCGGTCCGGTCCGGTCCAGTCCGCGCCGTGCCCCGTCCCGCTGCAGCCCTGGCGCAGGGCCGCTGTCCTCCCCGGCTCGGGACCGCTCGGCCCCGCAGCAGCCCCGCCACTGCTGGCGCTTTGGCCTCAGCCCCTCCCGGCACCCGGCACTACCGAGCTGTGTGAGGGTCCCCGTTCCTCACGGAGCCGCGTCCAGCACCAGGCAGCCGGGCAGCACAGGCCCCGTTGTTGCGGGTGTTCCTGCCGGGCACAGGGGTGGGCTGCAGCCAGGGGGATGCAGTGTGTGCACAGGAGGACTTGCACTGCCCCTCTGACCCGCCCAGACACCGCCAAGTCTCCTCTCCAGGTCCCCTCGTGGGGTCTGCCAAAGCCCCAGCCGGGAGCACACGGCTGGCTATGGCAGTGGTTGTGGGGGTCCTGGCTGCCCACAGTGGGGCCCTGGGCACAGCCACAGACAAGCTCTAAGTATTCCTCTGTTCTGCCGACCCTGGTCTGTTTATTTGCATGTTTATTTGCGGCTCTGCTCAAGGTCAGGACTGGCAGGAGACTTTTGGGGGCACCTTGCCGGGCTGAGGTTGTCGCACTGGCCCCCAGCCGTGCCCTTCCCTGGGCGCTTGCCCTCCCCTTGCCCTCTGCAGCACCAGGATCTCTCCCACTCACTGATTTCCATCACGGCAGTGCCAGCGGCGTGGCAGCAGGCTGTGCAGCCATGCTGGGGTCTGGCAGGAGGGCTGGACACAGTGCCACTACAGATGGACCAGGCAGACTGTCCCTGGAGCTGAGCCTGGCGAGATGGTGCCCTGTGGGACAGCAGGTGAAGGGCTGGAGGAAGCAGGGGCCTGGGGGACTTGGGGGAGCAGGGATTGTCTGTAGGAAAGGACTCAGCAGAGCTCCCCACACCTGTGACAAGAGTGGTTGCAGCAGGGGGGTGGGTTGTCCCCCCATGCCAAGGGTCAGCGGAACTCCCATTGTGAGGTCTGTCTGCAGGGACCATGGAAAACTCGTTGGGTAGCAAAGCTGCCAGTGGGCCCCCTCCACATGTCCTGGCTGCTCCAGTGCTGTCTGTCCAGCAACTTGCCAAGCCCAGCACAACCACTAAAGCCCTGGGTGCCACTTAGGCCTTATTTGTCAGAAAGGTCAGCAGCATCCCTGCTCAGGTCGTGCTCTGGACAGCATGTGCGAGCTGCATGACAGTGACTGAAGGGCTCCAGCCCCAGCAACCCAGCAAGGGCTGGACCAGTGCAGACCCTCTGGGTAGATGGTGGGAGCAGGGAGCAGGCAGGGCTGCTGCCTGCAGTGGCCGGGCTGGCACCTTGCACTGCTCTGGTTGGGGTGTTGGGATGTCAGCCGCAGCCCCACTGCAGGGTGCCGTGCTGACACCCAGCCCGGGGACACGGGGGAGCCTGGAGAGCCCAGATCCAGGACCAGGAGCTTTGATGGAACTTGTGTCCACGGCCATTTCTGAGGCAGGGCTTGGACTGTCAGAGAATCAGGGAAGCTGTTTAAATGCAGCCGGCCAAAACGCCTGTGCTGGAAATCCTGCGCTGCAGGGCCGGCTGATCAAAGGGAGGATAATCCTGGGTTTAGGAAGGAAGAGGATAGGTCTGAAGTAGCAGTTGGTCCAATTTGGGTCAGGCTGTGAAGGAATCCAGCCCAAAAGGCCAGTGGGTGTGCTTGCTGGCTGGAGGGGGAAAATGCAGCCCTGGGATGGGGGGAGCATCCTACTCCACCATCCCACCCCTGACCCTCACCCCTGCTCCCCTGACATGCTGCAGCTGGTGCTGGCTCTGCTGTGACACTGCCAGCACGAGCCAGCACTGCTCTGATCATCAGTGGTCTCTGCCTCAGTGGGGCTGCAAGGGCTGTGTGGCCTCTCCAAGGGTCGCCCTCCCCAGAGCAGCTCTCAGACACTCCTGTGCAGGGTAGAAGGAAGCTGGGTGGGCACAGAGATGCCACTGCTATAAGAATACCTTGGCCATCCCCATCTGCCTTAGACACCCCCGGCCAACAGCCCAGGGCCAGGCAGTGTGTGTACAGCCAAGTCCCCTTGATAGCCGGAGGTGACAGAACAGCAGCGTGGCCTCCCTGGCCAGCAGCTCCTGCAAAACGGCAGCAGCTGGGGACATCAGCCAGGGCCACGTGCTCGCCCATGTGCTCGCTGGCCTGCTGGGGTCACCCTGGGGTGCCCCTTGCTGCAGGCAGAGCCCCAGGAGTCCAGGTGTCCTGTGGCAAAAGTCAAGGTGTCCTGTGTACCTCCAGGGGAGTGCCAGGGCATCCCTAGTGCCATGAGCAGCCATCGCACTGCTGCTGCCCCTGGGGCTGAGGGGATTGGCGTGGGGGTGGCACGGGGGATTCCGGAGCTGTCAGCAGCCCTGTGCAGGAGCACAGATGGAGGCGCAGAGGGCTCTGAGGTCGGGGCTTCCTGCCACGGGCCCCCTCACCCACTGCACCTCCCGGCAGTGCCGCAGCTCTCGTGCCCGATGTCCCTGGCTGGGGCTCCCTGTGCTCTGGATGCTGCGGAGGGGACGGGCCGGCCGTGGTCGGGTAGCAGCCTTGGCAGCAGCTCTGCTTAATTAGCCCGTGGTGGGGGGGGGTGGCTGCTGGGGCTACCCCAGCCAGTTCTCAGTGCCCTGCGCCGTGTAAAGCGATTAGCGAGGATTTGGAATAAGGAACATGACGCTTCCCAACCCAATTTAGGGCTAAGTAAAAAGCCATTAGAAGATCAAATTGTGGTTGGTGCTGCTGTCTGAGCGCTGCCTTGGGGGGCTCCGGGGGTGCTGTGACGGTCCTTCGGCGCTGCCGCCTTTGCTCTGGGCTGCCCCGGGCAGACAGGTTGGTGGAAGCCCTGCTGAGAGTGGGGCTGCGCGGTGCCCACGGCGGGGCTGCGGGTTCCTGCCAGCGATCCCGCTGCCAGCCCTTCCAGCCGCCGCAGCAAATTAAAAGGCCGATTCGTGTTGAGTGATCCCTTGGGAGGGGGGCGGCTGAGCGCCGGGATCGAAACCTGGCACGGCTCGGCTCGGCTCGGCTCTGCTCTGCTCAGCTCATACTGTCTTTCCTGGCTCGGCTGCTGCCTTGGGGCTGCTAGCCCGGTGCAGCGCTCCGGCCCTGCTCTGCTGTGTCCTGGCTGCACTGGCGGAGCAGGGCAGGGGCAGCCCTGTGGGCGTTGCTGGGACTGGCTGTCCCACGTGTCCCCAGGGCCGGGAGGCAGCGCCCCGTTTGTGCCGCCGGGCAGGGCTGGCCGTGGCAGTGGCAGGTGAGGGCCGGGGGCATTGCTCCTGCCTGCCCTGGCTGCCCCTGGCTTCAGACCACGGCTCTGAGGCAGCTGCCGGGGAGAGGCTGCACCAGCCCCGCTGCGGCAAAATGGTCTCCGTCAGGAGCAGGAGCAGAAGCGGGAGCGCTTTGTCACCTGGGACCCCGCGCCCTGGTGCTTAACTCCTTCCAGTCTGTGGGGCTGCAGCGACGTGGGAGACCGAGAGTCTCCCCGAGCCGTGCTGCATCCTCATGCTCAGCAGCCCGGGGCCTCTCCCAGTGCTGCTCCTCGCAGCAGCATCGCCGGGCGAGGGGCTCGGGGCTCCTGCGCCACGGGCCAGCCCCAGCAGCCTGGGCGATGCCAGCACGGGCCGTGGCCCCGGCGTGAGGAGAGAGCGCTGGCCAGAGGCGGGGGAGGAGGGACTGCGAGCCGTGGGTGCTGTTGTGGTGCCGTGGCTTGGAGCTTGGGCACCCCGGGGTGCTGCTGGCGCCTGTCGTGTGGAGCCGAGCAGGGCAGTCCCGCGGGGTCGGGGTGGGCTGGGGCCGGGGGTCCGGCCGCGCCGTCGGTGGGGCGCCGGTGGGCCGGGGCGCGGGTGCCACGCGGGGCCAGCGTCCGGCTCCAGCGCCGTTACATAAGAGCGGGAGCCGAGGCGGCCGTGGCTCGCCGTTGCCATGGAAACCTGCACGGTGATGTCGTCGGTTGGGTACCAGGCGGTGAGGCGAGGCCCCCGCGGGCTCCGTTCTCCCGGAGGGGTCCCAGAGCCTTGCCACGTTTCGAGCACGTCTCGCTGCCAAGCCGCGCGTGTCCCCCGGTGCCACCCAGCCCCAAGGGGGAGGTGAGCTCCAGCCACCCCTGCTCCTGCACCCTTGTGTCACCACACTGGGGATGGTCACAGCATCAGCCTGGGGGGGTGTCCTGTCAGCGTGGTGGATGTTTCACATCAGTGTGGTCCCCAGAGCTGGTGCAGGTGGGCAAGAGCCGTGGTGAGTGGGTGGTTGCCAGCTCACACCATTGCTGTTACCTAATGACACCAGGGTTCAGTGGGCTTTAGACCAAACACAGAGCGAGGAGCGCATGAGGTTCGTGATGAGACCTGTTGTGGGAGATACAGGGCAGGCACATGCCATGGTGCAACCTGAGCTGCTGGGTGTGTCTGAGGGGACTCTGGAGAGAAGCCTGTGGGCCAGGGTGTCCCAGTGCCACTGCCACGGCCACTCCTGCACAAGAGGAGCCTGTGAGCTGTGCCTCAGTGTTTGGCTGTGCCCTTAGGGACACTGCTTCCCCACTGCCCCATGCTGGAGGAGCCCAGGGATGGTGGGAGTTTGGGACCAGCCCGCAGGTCTGTGTCACCTGTAGCATCTGAGGCTTCACCTCCTGGTCAGCCAGGAGCACCCTGTCTGCCAGGGAATTGCAGATGGTGAATCACTGCTGCACGCGGGCTTCCAGGATCCCGAATATGAGTCAACTGGCAGGAGAATGGCAGTCCTCAAAGGACCAGGATGCTCCAAATGGTCGCAGGGTTTATCTTGTGGCTGCCTCCATGAGTGGGTGACTACACTGCTAGGCCACCATCCCTCTGCCCTGGGGCCCTCATGGGCTTCATGCTGATGGATGTTGGAGGCGGCAGTTCTCTCTCTGGTCCCAAGGTGTGGAGCTGATCTTTGACCCTGCCCATGTGGGCAACCTGCCCAGCAGTGCGGTCGCCAGTGGCAGTGTGACTGCTCTGGCTGCAGGGCTGTGGTGGTGGGATGGGTGTGTGGCAGGGGACCTCTCTCTCCCCACTGGGGCTGGGGACTAGCCTAACTGCCCAGGTTTCCCTGTACTGTGGGTGCCTCCTCAGCTGCTCTGCCCAGGGTTGTGTCCTTTGGCTCCTGGCCCCCATGCCCTGGTCCCTCTCTGCTCTGGCCCTTCTCTTGGAGCCATGCTGCTCCGGCAGCACCATCCTCACTGCTGCTCCATTTCCATCTTGATTTATTTCTGCTGCTCTGCAGCTCAGCTGTTTTCATCGCTATTAAGCCAACTCCAGGTTTCTTCTGCACTAGGTCATTAATGCAGTGAGTGGCTGTGGCCCCTGTCCTGGTAGATCCACGGGCCTCGTAGTGCTGTGGGTGGCTCCACTGCCCCGGGCACTATCTGCCCTCAATGATACCATCTCTTGCCCTGTGGCCCCCACTGCTGTGGTGCATGTCTGGGAGGAGAACCAGACACCTGGCCAGTCGCCCCACTTCCAGGCACTGTGCCGGGACCATTCCCTGCGTGCTGATGCTGAGCAGCCGTCCAGATCCTGCCCTGCAGACGCAGGGCTGAGGGCAGTCCCAGAGCGCTCACCCGCAGGCACCTGTGAGTTATGGCTGCCGTGCATGGCGCCCGAGGGCTCTCCCCGGCTCCACTCTGCTTGCCTCACTGCGTGGATGCGCTCCGGCGGCTCCACGTGTCAGCACGGCCGGGCAGGGCAGCGTGTGGCTCCCGGGGATGGCAGCCCCTGCCCGTGTGTGGTGGGGAGGTGGTGCTGGGGGTGGGATGCTGGCCTGGCATGGCCTGTGCTGGGTCTGGGCACGAGCCCTGGCAGCTCTCCTGCAGGAGCCACGGGCAGCCGTGAGCCCTCACAGCGGTGACCCTGTGGGGTGGATGTTCTGCAGGTGTGGGTGGGGCAGGGGCTGCCTGACTGACTCCGTGGTGTCTCTGCAGGCGATGGCAATCCCAAGGAGAGCAGCCCCTTCATTAACAGCACGGACCTGGAGAAGGGCAAGGAGTACGATGGCAAGAACATGGCCCTCTTCGAGGTAGGGCATGCAGGCAGTGGGGCAGGGGGAGGGAGCTGAGCTAAGCAGCTGTCCCACAGCACCCAGCCTGCACCCCAGGCACTGGGACGTGCCAGAGCCCCAGGCCAGGGTTGCTACACTGCCAAAGCCATTCCTGGAGGGGCTGGCAGTGGGGTAGCATCTGGTGAGGTCTCCTGGGGTTGGCTGGGGTCCCAAAGGGCTGTCCTCACAGCTCGGGATCTGCTCTCCGCAGGAGGAGATGGACACAAGCCCTATGGTCTCGTCCCTGCTGAGTGGACTGGCCAATTACACCAACCTGCCACAGGGCAGCCGGGAGCATGAGGAGGCTGAGAACAATGATGGAGGCAAGAAGAAGCCAGTGCAGGTGAGGACTTAGGGAGGAGGTAACCTTCCCTTCCTCTCCAGCCCTTGCCTGTGTAGTGCCAGGCCATAGACTGCCATGGGAACAGGGGACCCCTCAGCCTCAGCCAGGGGCAGTTGTACCCTGAGTTCCTGGCTGCTTTGTGGGAGGACTGGGACCTCTTGCTCCTCTCCAGCCAGGCCCCTGTGCTCTGATAACTGCTGTTCCCTCAACAGGCCCCACGGATGGGCACCTTCATGGGTGTCTACCTGCCCTGCCTTCAGAACATCTTTGGAGTCATCCTCTTCCTGCGTCTCACCTGGGTGGTGGGGATCGCTGGCATCATGGAGTCATTCTGCATGGTCTTCCTCTGCTGCTCCTGCGTGAGTTTAGGAGCTGTATAAGCCTTCACTGGCCTTGCCCATGGCCTGGGGTCACCAGTCTGGCTGGCTGCACTATGGAGAGGTGCACTAGCTGCTGCCCACCATGCCCTGCCCCAGCTTCTGCCCCTGCCCTAGCTCCTGCCCCACTTAGAGCAAGGAGAAGCCTTCAGCTTCCCAAAGGAATCAGCAGTGGAATGGTGCTTAAATGGTGACCCAGATCACAGCTACCATAGGGGGATGTGCCGGGGGTCCCCTGCTCTGGTACCATGCAGAAAGCCACCGTGCCAGGACAGTCACCCCAGGGCAGAGGCTGGGAGGGCTGGCCTTGTCCAGTGTCCTGGGCAGCCTGAGCCACCCCACGCTGCCAGCCCCTCCAAGGGCTCAGCTCTCTCAGCTGTGCTGCCAGCTGACAGCCCTGCCTGTCCATCCACACATGCACCTATCCATTCATCCTCCCTGGGCATCCCTGCCCTGTGGCACATCTCAGCGTGACCCCGGGAAGCCCCATGTCCTAGCATGGCCCCAGCTCTCCCTTCCACTGCCCTGTCCCTCTGCCCAGCTCCTGAACACGCCGCGTTTCTTCCCGCAGACGATGCTGACGGCCATTTCCATGAGTGCGATCGCCACCAACGGTGTGGTGCCAGGTAGAGCCAAGCCCACGTCCGTGCGTGTGCCGCGTGTGCGGGCAGCTGCTCCCTGCCGGGTGGGGTGGCTGCAGGGGCTTTTCCCAGAGAGCATCCCCGGGGCCGCCAGCCGCTCCCCGGCCTTCTGCCACCAGCCCGCGCGGGATCCCCACGGCCCGGGGGAGCGCGGAGCTGGAGCCGCCACCCGTCCCCAAAGCCGCGAGGTGCAGATGGCAGCGAGAGCCGCCAGCCGCGGCTCCTCCCTCCGCCAGACTGGCGAGGCCGCGGGGAGCCGGGAGGCGCACGGCAGGAGGATGGGAGCAGGGCGTGCCGAGTACCGCGGGCTGGGCGATGGGATGGGCTCTCCCACCGCCGGACACGGGCTCGCTGCTGTGCGTGGGCTCTGCCCCGCAGGAGGCACCGTGGGGTCTGGCCGGTGGGTGCCCTGGCTGCCTCCCCCAGAACATGCCAGCCCTGCAGAGCCCCGGGGAGCCGTGAGCTGCGCCAGGCTGGGCACAGCACTGACAGCTCAACGCGGGGTGTAATTAAAGCTATTTATCATCCTGCTGCCGCAGCGGGACCATCGATCCTGGCGGCCCAGCTCTAAGGGCTCCTCTGGGAGGATGGAGCAGGGTATGGCCCAGGTCCCTGGGGCTCCAGCTCCTGTCTGGTGTCCAGGGAACACCTGTGCCATTGGTCATTGCACCTGGCTGCTGGGCTGCTGGGGAATGACTGCCAGTGTGGTCACTCCTGCTGCTCTGCATCTTGCTCAGTGCTGGAGCAGGGCCCATAGCTATCCCAGCTCCAGCCTGCCCTCTGGGATACCTGGCAGGGCTGACGATGTCACTGGGGTCTGGCTGGGACCAACTTTTGCTCTCTCTGACAGCGGGTGGCTCCTACTACATGATCTCACGCTCCCTGGGACCTGAGTTTGGTGGGGCCGTGGGGCTCTGCTTCTACCTGGGCACCACCTTTGCCGGTGCCATGTACATCCTGGGCACCATCGAAATCCTGCTGGTAGGTACCTGGTGCTTGCCTTGTGCAGTGCCATGGGCTCAGCTCTTGGCAGGGCAGGGGGCCTGAAGGACCCTTCCCCTAGGGCCCCTCTGCAGGCTGTTAGCCAGGTGGTGATGCCATGACTCTTTCCCAGGCCTACATCTTCCCAGCCATGGCCATCTTCAAGGCAGAGGATGCCAGCGGGGAGGCGGCCGCGATGCTCAACAACATGCGTGTGTACGGAACCTGCGTGCTGACCTGCATGGCCACTGTGGTCTTCGTGGGTGTCAAGTATGTCAACAAATTTGCCCTGGTCTTCCTGGGCTGTGTCATCCTCTCCATCCTTGCCATCTATGCTGGTGTCATCAAATCGGCCTTTGACCCACCAAGCTTCCCGTGAGTACGGGGTCCTGCAGGGATGCAGCAGGGCTGGGGCATGCAAATGCTGAGTGCTGAGTGCCCGTGTCCCCCCAGGATCTGCCTCCTGGGCAACAGGACCCTCTCACGCCACGGCTTCGACCTCTGCACCAAGATGGTGGTGGAGGGGAACGAGACAGTTGGCTCCAAGCTCTGGGAGCTTTTCTGCACCTCCCGCTTCCTCAATGCGACCTGCGATGAGTACTTCAGCATGAACAACGTCACTGAGATCGAGGGCATCCCCGGCGCAGCCAGCGGCCTCATCCAAGGTGAGCACATGCCAGCCGAGGCATGGGAGCATGGGCGTGGGCATGAAGGCATGGGAATGGAAGCATGGAGAAGGAAGTGCATGGGAGCTGTGGTGGGGCAGTGGCTGTGCCTGCTGGGCAGCTCTGCCAACAGGGCTGGTGGAGGTGTGCTGTGGGAGGCCTCCTAAGCATGGCTCCTTAGCCATGTCAGGTGTTGTGGGGGCAAACAGGGCTGGGTCCAGGTGAGAAAACATGTGGGAGATCCCTGCTGGGGGCTGCTCTGAGGCACAGTGAGCTCTGCTGATGCTGTGCCAGGCAGTAGGACAGACTCCTGCACTGGGTGACAGAGCAGGGTGCTGCAGCCACCTGCACGCAGTCTGTGTCAGCCAGTGGGGTGGCTCAGAATGATGCCCAAGGGCTGGGGAGGAATAAATCCTCTGCTTCCTCTTGGCCTTTGGAAAGGCTGGTATTGATTTGAGGTTTTGAGAGAAGTGATCACCCCTTGGGGCCATTTAGCTACTGTGGCTACAGCCCTGCTGGGAGAGTGGCCAGGACCACAGAAAGATGGGTGAATTTGCTGGGAGGAGCCACTTGTGACCTGTTTTTCTGGAGATGCTGGTATATCTGCTAGGTGCTCATGCTCAGCAGTGGGTGGCAGAGGCTGATCCTCTGTGCCACATTCAGAGGGTGTCTGCAGACCCCCATGCTGGAGTGGTTGTTGAAACTCAGGAAAGTAGCAGAGCCAAGAGCAGGATCAGTCCTTCCTGATGGCTGCGGGGCTGCCCCAGCCATCCTGCCATGGTGTCTGTGTGGACACAGGCATGGGAGGTCAGACTTAGCCAAGCACGTGGTGCTCAGGGCTGCAGCTGTGACCGTGATTAGTGGAGTGCAGTCACAGGGTGTTTGTGAGCCTCCCGATGATGTTGCACTCTGAGGTGTTCTGGGTGAGATAAGGAGTTCCTGGCTGCTGGGTGGAACCTGCTCCTGTTGGTGATGCTGCTGCTGTCGGGGAGGGGGTGCAGACCCCCACTCACCCAGCTGGTCTCTCAGGGCAACAGGCAGCAAACGCTCCTGCACTGGGGGAATTGGGACAGAGCCAGGACCCACTCTGGGGTGTCTGGTGACAAGGGTGACCCACCCAGCAGCATCTTAAGACAGGTGGCACAGTTTGACCCTGGCAGAGATGACTGGGGCTTGCTGTGCCCTAGGTGAGGGGTGAGGATGAGACAGGAGAGGCCAATATGGGTTGCCAGCCCCATCTGTCACCTGTGAGCAGCCATGAAGGGGGCTCAGTGCTGGGGGCTGCTGGCTGCTCCTCTCTGCAGCCCCCCAGCAGTGACATGCCAAGGGCAGTCGCCTCTGCCTGCCCTGCCCGGTGCTGGCTGCTCTCCACTGCTCCAGTTTCTCTCTGCAATCTGCGGCCAAAGCAGCACACGGAGGGACGCTAAGCCTGTTACATCAGCCCCGCACTCATAATCCCATCAAAAACATTATCAAGTTACTTTGACACGATCCACTTCCCTTAAACCTGTGTTGATCAGCATTAATTATATTACCCTCTTAATTATTTGCTACTGCAATCCCATGTCAGCTGCTCCAGTATCTTGTGGGGACGCTGCCAGCAGCAGTATGAGCCTGCTCTGGTTGCCCACCTGTGCTGCCATCCTCACCCTCTGGATGCCCGTGTCCCCATCTGCTGCCTGAGCCGGCTGCTCAGTGAGGCTGGGGAAAGGGTGGGAGAACCAGAGACCCCCGGCTCCATCCCTGTGCGGGGGGGATGCTGCGCTGGGTATGGGGCCTTGCGGGCATCTCATGCCGGCGTCACCGCCGGCCTCCTCCCTCCTCACAGAGAACCTCTGGAGCTCATACCTGACCAAGGGCGTGATCGTGGAGAAGCGGGGGCTGCCCTCAGTGAGCTCCCCCGACACCCCAGTGGACATGGACCAGCCCTACGTCTTCAGCGACATGACATCCTACTTCACCCTGCTCGTCGGCATCTACTTCCCCTCTGTCACAGGTGGGAGTGCCGCCGGCCCCGCTCGGTGCGGCGGGCACGGCGGGCACACCGGGCACGTTCCGCCGGGCGTGCTCGGCGGGGCCCCACGCGTGCCACCCCCACGCGGGTGCGGCGGTGACAGCGGCGTCGCGGGGGCGGCCGGCCGCCATCGCCTCCCACGCAGCCGCCCGCGCTCCAGATCTGACGGTGCCGCCCGGTGCGCTGACGTCCCGCCGCCTCGGTATTTTTAGCGCTCCGGGGGCAGAGGAGCCCCCCCCCGCCCCAGTCCCGCTGCGGAGCCGAGCGGGGCGCAGCCTCCGGGGCTCCCCTGCAGCTCCGCCGGGGACCAGCCCGGCGGGAGCCCCCGGGTCGCCCCGGGCGTGGCGAGCGCGGGAGGGGCCGGCGCTGCGGGGTCCCCGGCAGCCGCTCGGCCTCCGCTGCCCTCCCTGCCGCTGCGCATCCACCAGCAGGTGCCGGCTTCCCGGTTTCTGCGGGATTCTGTCCCCCGGTGCCGCGGGCCGTGGGGTCCCGCCCCGGCTGCTGCGGCGGCCGGAGCACGGCTCATCCCTCGGGCTGTGCCGAGCCCGCCCGTGCAGCCGTGTCCCTGCGTGACCTCCTGCCCTCCCAGAGCCACGTCGGGGCTGGACCCTGTCCCTGCCCCTGCGGCAGCCACCGTCCCTGCCTGAGCTAATTAAGGGCTAATGAGACAAGGCACTTGAGAGCTTTTGAGCCTAATCCTTGAGTGGCCTCAGACTGCGGTTTGGGGTAGGGGGGGAAGTGCTGGGGGGGGATGAGAAGAGCAGGCTGGGTACCCCAAGCAGCAGCAGCGCCTTCTCCGCTGCCCATCATGGCTGCTTCCCATCCTGGCACACACCGAGCCGTGCCCTGCTGTGCCCAGGGCTCACACGGTGCCTGGCATGAGGGTGTCTGAGACAGGTATGGACTGTAGCTCTGCTCCCGCTGACACCATCCCCTTTTTCCCCAGGCATCATGGCTGGGTCCAACCGCTCTGGAGACCTGCGGGATGCCCAGAAGTCCATCCCCACGGGCACCATCCTGGCCATTGCCACCACTTCTGCCGTCTGTATCCTTCAGGGCTTTCCTGAGCCTGGGCTATGGGGCTGAGAGTGGGTGGGCTCTGCAGGGCAGATCAGCTCTGGTGCTTCACTGGGACAGGGTCCCAGCACCCACTGGCTGGGCAGGCGGGACTCTGCATCCTCCTGGCTATCCTTGACTACCTGGCAGATATCAGCTCTGTTGTCCTCTTTGGAGCATGCATCGAGGGGGTCGTCCTGCGTGACAAGTGAGTGTCCCAAGGCCATGGGGAGAGTCAGTCAGCCCCCCAGAACAGGGTGGGGCAGGGGCAGTCCCAGGGGCAGGCAGAGATGTGGGGAAGGCTACAACCAGGATGCACTGGGCAGACATGGGAGCATTGGGGAGCTCGTGGGTGTCACTGGGCAGGGGGGCTGGAGCTTGTAACAGGCACTGGGGGCTTGTGTGCACCCCAGCTATCCACGTTTGCTGCATTCTTCCCGCTCCGGGGCCGCAGGCAGACACTTGTTTGTCAACAGGCAGGGCTGCCGGTGCTCCTGCCTATCTGGGGCAGCCCTGCTCACCGCACGTGGCAGGTGACACTTCTGGGTCGCCAGCACCAACACAAACAGGTTCCAACTGCATGCATCGTCATTGCTCTCTCTGGCACAGGGACAAGGAGTCCTGTCCCATACCTGCCTTTGTCCTTTGCCATGAAAACGGGTACAGGGATGAGGACAGACCCCTGCCAACCTCTGAGTCTGCTCCATTGCTCCCCCCTTGAGTCAACATCCCAGTTATGTCACATCCCCCCAGAGTGGTGCTGTTGTGAGGGGCTGGGTTGTGCCGCTGTGCTGCTGCTCAGTCATGGGACAGAACCACAGGTGATGCTGATGTCCCGCAGGTTTGGTGAGGCTGTCAACGGGAACCTGGTGGTTGGCACCCTGGCGTGGCCGTCCCCGTGGGTCATTGTCATTGGCTCGTTCTTCTCCACCTGTGGGGCTGGGTTGCAGAGTCTCACCGGAGCCCCCCGCCTCCTGCAGGCCATCTCCAGGGATGGGATCGTACCCTTCCTCAGGGTAGGTGACCCCCGAGTCCGGTGTTTCCCCACCCTGAGCACCCACTCTGGCTGCAGACCCCACCAGCACGAGTGGGTGGGACCCCACCCTGCCTCTCCCTGCCCCGTCCTGCCGGAGCAGCCCCGCTTCCCTGCCCTCATCCCGCCGGCACCGGCACGGCGGTGGGCGGCCGTGGTGGCTCCGGCTGCGGTATCGGTAGGAGGAGAGTGTCGGGAAAGGTCAGAATTCCCTCCCCCCCGCTGCCGTGCCGCTTCATATTTTATCTGCTCTCTGAAGACGCGTTCCCACAACCTCATCTCTCCAAATCCAACCCGACAGCTCCCCCCAGGGAAGAGCGGGCTAATTTTATCCTCCCTCCTTCTCCTTGCCAGCCCCAGCCCGAGCTCTCTGTCGCGCCGCCCGCACCCTCTAATGCGCCCGGACACGATCCCCCGGCCCCCTCCCCAGGACCCGCAGCCGCAGCAGGGGCCACTGTCCCCTGGCTGTGTGTCCGTCCCTAGTGCAGGCTGCCCGGCTGTGCTGGCTGTGGCCAGGCTGTGAGCTGGGGGCAGAGGGGCTGTGGGGAGAGCCACGGGATTTGCTGGGAACGGGACTGTACTGTCAGCAGGAGCCACCCTGGGACTGCTGCCCTGGCAGATTCCAATGGGACGTGTGCCAGCTCATGGCACCCAGCGTTCCCTGCTCCTGCCAGGGCTGGGTATATGGGAGGGTCCAGTCTCATCAGGCTGCGCTGGGTACCCTTGCCCAGGGCTACAGGGCAGCGCAGAGCCTGATGTGCCACTCTCCCCCTGCTTCCAGGTCTTTGGCCATGGCAAAGCCAACGGGGAGCCGACATGGGCCCTGCTGCTCACAGCCTGCATCTGCGAGATCGGGATCCTGATCGCCTCCCTGGACGAGGTGGCTCCCATCCTCTCCATGTAGGCAGCGTGCTGTCGACCCGCACCTTCACAAGCAGCGGGTGGCGTGTGTGGGTCTCTGCTCCTCGGGGGGAGGGAGGAACACACCTGCTGCCCTGGCCCCTGCCTGGGAAGAGGAGACCCTGCAGGAACTCCGGGGTCACATCTTGGCCAGCATTGAGGCTTGGTTTGTCCACGGCATTGCTTCTCTGTCCATCAGCAGGGCCTGCTCCCACATTGGCCACCCCAGGGACAGGAGGTTTGGAGAATTCAGTCCCACACAGTGCACCCACTCAGCCCCCTGCTCTCTCCTGCAGGTTCTTCCTCATGTGCTACATGTTTGTCAACCTGGCGTGTGCGGTGCAAACGCTGCTGCGGACGCCCAACTGGCGGCCCCGCTTCCGCTACTACCACTGGTGAGCTGGGCTGGATGGGGCAGCACAGGGACACCCCAGGACACCCCGGTGTGGGGGCCCCAGGGCATGCTGACAGCTTTGTGCCCTCTGCAGGACCCTGTCCTTCCTGGGCATGAGCCTCTGCCTGGCGCTGATGTTCATCTGCTCCTGGTACTACGCACTGGTGGCCATGCTGATCGCTGGCCTCATCTACAAATACATCGAGTACCGCGGGTAAGGGAGGCCACGGCGCCGCAGGTGCTGGCCAGCCCCCATGGCTGCATGGCCTCTCAGCTTGTCCCAGGGTGCCAGCGTGGTGCTCTGTGGCCAGAACCATGGGCATCCCTTATGTGCTGCTGGTTCCTGCAGGGCGGAGAAGGAGTGGGGCGATGGGATCCGGGGCCTGTCCCTGAGTGCAGCCCGCTATGCCCTGCTGCGGTTGGAGGAAGGGCCCCCGCACACCAAAAACTGGAGGTGAGGCTGGGCAGGGAGATGGGGATCTGAGGGTTCTGGGGCAGGGATAAGCTGGGCTCGGGCACTGACTGCAGGACCCTCCTTCCAGGCCGCAGCTGCTGGTCCTGGTCCGTGGGGATCAGGAGCAGAATGTGGTGCACCCGCAGCTCCTGTCCTTCACGTCGCAGCTCAAGGCTGGGAAGGGCCTCACTATCGTGGCCTCTGTGTTAGAAGGGACCTTCCTGGACAACCATCCTCAGGCACAGAGAGCGGAGGAGGTGAGAGCTGCCTGCACTGGGACAGTAGGTGCTCCTGGTCCCCACGTCCCCAGCACTGTTTCTGCCCCATGGCCAGGGCTGGTGGCCCTGGGATGGCCTGGAGAGCTTTTGAGTGGCATCAGGCAGAGCCTGAGGACTCCATGCTTCACTGATGCTCACCATACCACAGGGACCTCTAGACTCCTCTTCCCCTCCAAGACCCCAGAGATGCTGGCACCAGCCAAGCACTGGTCCCAGTCTTGGCCAGCTGCTGCAGGGCTTGGCACAGCATGGCACGTCACAGCACAGCACAGTGCCCAGCCAGGGGCTGCCATGCTGCTGGGCTGAACAGACTCCTCAGCCTCAACCCTTGCCACAGTCTCTGTGGCCCTGGTGCCAGGCAAGGTGGGAGATGAGCCTTTCCCTGCCAGAGTGAGAGCACTCCCCACCCCCTGCACCCGCGGGGCGGCACATTAATGAGATTAAGCCCTCGGAAGCAAACAGTTTCTCTCCCATGCAGACATGTTATAATTTCTCTGAGTAAATAACTCTAATTGCTGCTCTGCCACCTGTCAGAGCCCTGGCACAAGGACACCCTCCACTCTGCACGGTGCAGAGCTGTGTGCCAGCTCTGTGCACTGCTGGGTATCACCCCCTGGCCCAGACCCACTGGAATGCCATGGGGCACAGACACCCAGGCACCTTGCAAGGACCTGTACCCCACATCCTGCACCCTGTACCTCATTTGGCCTGGGTTGGGCCACTGCTGGGCCTGGCAGCTGCTGTGCCTGTGATCCATGCCCATCCCTGAGGCCCTGGGATCTCTGACTTCCTTCTCCCTTGCAGTCCATCCGGCGCCTGATGGAAGCGGAGAAGGTGAAGGGCTTTTGTCAGGTGGTGATCTCCTCTAACCTGCGGGATGGCATGTCCCACCTCATCCAGTCCAGCGGGCTGGGCGGGCTGCAGCACAACACAGTGCTGGTGGGCTGGCCCCGCAGCTGGCGCCAGAAGGAGGACCACCAGACCTGGAGGAACTTCATTGGTAGGCACCGTGGAGGGTGGACACTGCCGGGCTTGGGGGGCTGCAAGCTGCCCTGGCTGACGTGGCCCTTCCCCTCCCAGAGTTGGTGCGAGAGACCACAGCTGGGCATCTGGCCTTGCTGGTGGCCAAGAATGTTGCCATGTTTCCGGGCAACCAGGAGCGGTTCTCGGAGGGCCACATCGACGTCTGGTGGATTGTCCACGATGGGGGGATGCTGATGCTGCTGCCCTTCCTCCTGCGGCAGCACAAGGTAGGCTGGAGCCGCGGTGCTGAGCCCTGTGGCACGGGGCTGGAGCCGGGGCCGGGGCCGTCCCCGTCGAGCCGTGCCCGAGCCTCCCCCGTCCCTCGCAGGTGTGGCGTAAGTGCAAGATGCGCATCTTCACGGTGGCACAGATGGATGACAACAGCATCCAGATGAAGAAGGACCTGACCACGTTCCTGTACCACCTGCGCATCACCGCAGAGGTGGAGGTGGTGGAGATGGTGAGTGCTGGGATAGGGCACGTGCTGCAGTCAGGGGTGCTGTGCATGGGAGAGCCAGACAGAGCCTGATGTGGGGCACACAGCACCATGGGGGGACATGCTGGGCCGAGATGGGAGCAGTCGGTACAGCTTACCCTGCTCCAAATTTCTCCTGTCCCCCCCACAGCACGAGAGCGACATCTCTGCCTACACCTATGAGAAGACGCTGGTGATGGAGCAGCGTTCCCAGATCCTCAAACAAATGCACCTCACCAAGAATGAGCGGGAGCGGGAGGTGAGGCTGCAGGACAGGCTGGGTGGGCTCTGACCCCTGTGGTGGCTCTGATGTGAACCTAGCTGCCCTGCAGCTCTGTGTGCTCATCCTGATGGAGAACTGGGCTTCAGACTAGGCTCTGCCCAGCCAAGCCCTCTTGTGCCCAACTCCTTTGGCTGACCTCTCCCACACAGATCCAGAGCATCACGGATGAGTCCCGTGGCTCCATCCGGCGCAAGAACCCGGCCAACACACGCCTGCGCCTGAACGTCCCTGAGGAGCAGGCTGCCGACGGCGAGGAGAAGCCAGAGGAGGAGGTGAGGGGTTGTACCAAGACACTGTCAGGCAGGTAGCTACGCCCAGGCCCTGCCCATCATTCACCTCTTTCCTCTGCAGGTCCAACTAATCCATGACAAGAACGCCACCACCTTCTCCAGCAGCTCTCAGTCTCCTGGTGATGAGGTGGAGGCAGCCCCTGAGAAGGTGCATCTCACCTGGACCAAGGAGAAGTCCGTTGCTGAGAAGAACAAGAGCAAGAGCCCTGTCAGCCCTGAGGGCATCAAAGACTTCTTCAGCATGAAGCCGTACGGCCCCCCATGCTGCCACCCTATCCCACCCATGCCCTATGATCCTGGCTGTCCCTGCCTGCCCCAGCCAGGCGGGTGCAGGCAGGGCCCCAGCTGCACGAACTTGATCCTTGCCCTGAGGAGTGGTCAGGCACCCTGGGTGCTCTGAGTGCACCCTTGCAGAGGGGCTGGGGGCAAGTGGGGAGGGATCCTTGTGTAGAACTGTGCTGGCAAGGGATGGGGTGCCCAGGCTGGGTGCGATGTGGGGAGTGGGGGTGCCCACCTAGTGTTCACCACATTTCTCTTCCTCTCTCTCTCTCCCTCTCTCTCTCTCTTCTCTCCGACCCCATCATGCTCCTGGCAGGGAGTGGGAGAACCTGTAAGTCTGGGTTTGGTTGGGTGCCGGGGCTGGGATGGAGGGAGCTGGGTTGTGCTCATGGGGCAGCATGATGGGAGCCACTGGGGTTGCCCCTGTGCAGGAGGGTGGCTCGGTGAGCTGTGACAACTGCTGTGCCAGACACTTCACCCGCGTGGCGCGCGGCGGCTCTGGCTGCCAGCCCCGTGCACCGTGCACTGCCCGCACCACACGCTCCTCGTCCGCCCTGCTATGCTGCCAGCAGCTCCCTGCAAGCCTGGGCTCAGGCACCCACTTGTGCTGTCTGCTCCTGCTCACTCCCCCGTGGCCTGGCCTCGAGCAGCCATGGTTGTCACTGCCCATGGGCTCTGTGCGTGGCCCTGCAGCTCATGGCCACTGCTGCAGGCTCAGAGTCACCAGCACAGTGCCTGGCAAAGCTTGCTGCACCCCGAGTTTGTGCTGCAGCCCAGCCTGCAGTGCCCAAGGGCAGGAGGCCAGTGTGCCCTGTGGCCACTGGGGCCTGGCGTGGGCTGGAGCTGACCGTGCCCGTCCCGTGCCCACACGTGCTGTCGCCCACAGGAACCAGTCCAACGTGCGGAGGATGCACACGGCTGTGAGGCTCAATGAGGTGATTGTGAAGAAGTCCCAGGATGCCAAGCTGGTCCTGCTGAACATGCCAGGGCCTCCCCGTAACCGGAAAGGGGATGAGAACTGTATCCTTCCTGTGGGGCCAGTCATCAAAACCCCTCTATGCCAGGGGGACCAGGGGCCATGTCTTCCCCAAAACTGGTGGTCTTTTAGGTGAGTGCCAAGTGGCACAGGTCCGTTCCTGAGCTTGGACCCCCCCATACCTCCTGCTCCTGGCTGGGTCCAGCAGCTGTCATTGGCACCAGCCTGTCCCTCCAGCGCGTGATGGGTGGTGGGACCACATGACATTGCGCCCACACCCATGAGTGCAGTGGCACATGACAGGGGCCTGGGTAGAGGTCTGTGGGGCTCAGCTATCTGCTGGCTCAGTCACCATCCCCATCGCACAGCACCAGCACACAGCAACAGGGGCTTCTCTGGCCCCCTGGCTTGGGACTGACCCCAGCAGCTCCTGGCTCTGGTGTGGAGGTGTTCATGCTGCAGGCTCAGCTGGGGCTGGGCTGGGATGGCACAGGGTTGTCCCCATGTTCCCCAAGTGTGAAGTTTGTCCTCCTTGACAACTGTACAGACATGGAGTTCCTGGAGGTGCTGACGGAGCATCTGGACAGAGTGCTCCTGGTACGTGGTGGGGGCCGGGAGGTCATCACCATCTACTCCTGAAAGACGGCGCGAGAGAGGTTTGTCTGCACACCGAGAGCCCCGCCACCCCTTTGCACCGCGCCCCGGAGGGGAGGAGGGAAGGCCGGATGGCAGCCGGTGCGCAGAACCTTCTCCTGGCTTTGGCCGTGCCCCTGATCTCTCCATTCGAACTGCAGCACCAGATCTTCCGGGAGCATCCAGCACCAGAGCAGCCGTTCCTCATTGCAACACCACAGCACTGCTGTCCTTGTTTATATATAAATATATACAGTGAACCGCGGACCGAGCACCGGAGCCCGGCGCCGCCGCCGCCCGCCCCGGCCGGGCCAGCCCCGCCCCAGCCGCAGCCCCGGCCGGGCAGGAGGGCGGCTGTGCCGAGGGACCTTGGCCCCACCGTGCTGCTGCTCCTGCACAGACTGGGCTGGACGTGCCCCTGCCTCCCTGCGAGGCGCTGCGACCGGAGAGCGGCCCCAGCTCCTCTCCCACCCCAGCGGCGCCCGGGCTGCCCCGCAGCGCTGCACGCTCCCCGCCCGACCCGGCCAGCCCCGCCAGCCCCGCCAGCCCCGGACAGCCCCGGCCAGCCCCGCCAGCCCCGGCCAGCCCCGCCAGCCCCGGACAGCCCCGCCAGCCCCGGACAGCCCCGCCTCGCCGCTGCCGCCGCCTCTGGAGCGCCGGCTGAGCTTGCGGAGATGCAGCACGATGGTTTGGAGGAGGCAGAGGGAGGGGGGCGGCGGAGCGGGGTCCGGTGCTGGAGCACAGCAAGGCCGGCAGGGCAGGAGCCCTGAGCGGGGGTGGTGGGGGTGCTGCCTGTCCCCCCTGCCTGACTCCAGGCTCTCTCTCCCCTGGCGCTGCCCGGGTGCTTGCGCAGGAGTCGCGGTGTGGAGCGGCGGTGCCGGGAGCCGCCGGGGGCCCCGCCGTGCGCAGCGTGAGCCGGGATCTCTCTCCGGCCGCTGGAGCCGCATGGGTGCTGGGGACCCCCGAGGCACCAGTGCCTGCTCTGGCCTGGCACAGGAGTGTCCCGAACCCCCACCCTGTTCCCCCGCCGCACTAAACTGGGGGCTCTCAGGGCCCAGCACCTGCACATGTGTCTGGGTCTCCCCTGTGCCCCGCCGCACTCCCTGCTGCTCCCCAGGGCTCTGCTGCTAACCCAGCCCTGGCCGCGGCCCCAGGCAGTCGCAGATGCTGCCGGGGGCTGTAGGACAGTCTGGATCTGTGTGTATTTTTAACATATGCAAAGGCTGTTTGCTGATCTGACCAGCAAGACTCACAGTGACGGGGGGACTGTAGGGGTCCCACTGCCCTCCCCGGCATCTTGACACTCCCTCACCCGGCTGGCCAGGGCAGCCCCGGCACTAGCCACGCCGCAGCCCCCCGGGGCAGATCAAACACCTCTTATCTTTGGCAGCAGCTGCAGGGTCGCCCCCGCCACCGTCCCCCCTCCGCCCCCCCATCCCCAGCATCTCTCACAGAAGAGAAACTGAGGCGCTTTTAACAAATGTGAACGGTTCCAGGAACCACGCAGGAAGCGGTGCGAGGGCAGCAGGGTGCCGCTGGCGCCCGCCCCAGCCCCATGTACATAGTGTACATAATACAGTACGTGTATTTTTAAAGTGATCATATTTATGTTAATAGAACCAGATGAAGTCTATATATAGAGATCTATATCTATTCTGAGAGACGCAGGGCTCTGCTAGCACCAGGCCACAGGGACGGGGAGCTGAGCCGGGCTGCTCCTGCACAAACCAGGAGCCCATCCGTCGCACTGAGCGCTCCAGAGTGGTGGTGGAGGCTGCAGCCTTCCCCGGCCACCAGCAGCCCCTGGGAAAGGGCCAGGTCGCAGGTTTATTCTCTTCTCAATTTAGCTTCTTAAGAGTTTTCAGGGAAAAGAAGTCACAGACTTTTCTGAACTTGTTTCACAGCAGATTTGAGCTTCCACTCAAAGTGCAGCCTGCTAAGAGTTGCCCTCTCCTGGCAGCGCTGGCGGCTTTGTGCCAGCCTGGGTCCTGGGGCAGCACTTTGTCCCTGGCCAGAGCTGAGCCCCTGTGCTGAAGCACTCGCCCCCTCAGCCCCTCAGCTCCCCAGTGCTGCTCTGCACTGCAGCAGGGGCAGGGGGAGCGGGTGCTGCTACAGCATCCCGTCCTGGCACAGGCAGCCCTGACTGCTCCCAGCTCCCTGCCCACCCAACCCCCTGCCAACTTTGGCTCCTGCCTCCTAGAGAACAGGAAACCCCCCCTGCACCGGCCACTCCAGCCCCTGCTCCCTTTCAGAGCTCCTCTACTCCAGGTCCAGGCCAAAGCTATTTGGGGATGCTTGGATAAAGAGCAGTGGGTTTTTTGATGTTGGATTTTTTTTTTTTTTTTTTGTAAGATACTACTTGGACACACTCCTAGACCAAAACCAAGCCCCAGCTGCACATCTGTGCCTGCTCATACCTTGCTCCTACATTTCCATCACTCCCGAAGTGCCTCCCTTCTCTCCAGGAGCAGTCCCAGTCACAGCCAGACTTTGCCAGGGTAGCTCAGAAGCCTGTGTGGCTGCAGGTCTGTGTCACAGATGCTGCTGTGGAAGCTGCTCCTACAGGCATGGGGAGCTCAGCATTTACAGGGGGACTGTCAGGCTGAGCTGAGACCTGGCTTCAGCACAGGAGCTCAGGGCTGACAAGTGCTGCAGATGCACAGGGTAGCACTTTCCGGTCCTGCTGCTGCCTCAGCAGCCCAGGAGCTGTGAGAAGAGCAGGTAGGGGTCTGCAAGTGAAAAAGTTCCTTTAGTTTTGGGAAGGGCAGCCCGCGGGAACCAGCATTTGCCGGTGTCTAGCTGCTCTGCCCCTTGGAGCTGGCCCTATACCACCACACACAAGCTCGCGGGCTGTTTGCAACCTCCCAAAATTATTTGAGGTACTTCAGCAGCAGCGGGGGAGGCACAGCAGCCTGCCCACACAGCTCATGTGTTAGCACCATGTTGTTGGGCCTCAAGCACTTGCCAGCTGCTCTGCCTCTTCACAAGATGCCACTCACTCCCTGCAGTTGCCCTCTAATTGCAGCTTGGCTGGGCCTGAGGCAGCGAGCATGGTCCCCTCCTGCTCTGGCACATGGTGCAGGGCAGAGGGCAGGGGCGGGTTGTGCACAGCCTCTGCTGAGCCTGCAGACAGCACCCACCCTCACAGCGTCAGGTGAGAGGCTCCTCTGTTGGCTGCAGGTGCAGGACAGCCGGGAATGACATTTGCAGAGCAGTGGTGAGAGCAGCCAGGGCACACTTCTGACAGGTTTGCTTCATCCCCCCAGCATCACCAGTGGATCCCATTCCCCTCAGTATCACTTCCACCCTGATGGCAAAGCAACGGTCCTGGCTCCCCCAGGGAGTAGGAAGGTCATTCCTTTCCATCACTACTGCTGAAAAAACGCATTCTCCTTCCCCATCCTTCAGCAAGAGCAGGGGCACAGCTCTGGACAGAGTCAGGGCTGCTCCCACACCCCTGCCAGGCAGTTTGGCTGTGGCAAGACAGGAGCTGGTTTCCACAGCGTGTCCCCTCGCTGTCGGCTGGAGAGGGCCAGTTTTAGCAGACAGCACTGCATGTTAGTTTACAAACCCAGCCCTGCACGTTTGGCCTCTGTGAGTGTTCAGTTTCCCCATGGAGCACCCTTCTGCCGCTCCACCGTGGTGAAGACAGTGTCCTCCTCTGGTACACATGCAAGTTCCTCCTTGGCACATGCGCAGACACGGTCCGGTTTTTGTTCCAGACAGGAAGGTCTTGACCCCCCAGTTTGTTTTACAGGCAGGCTGCTGCTGGAGCAGCACTGAGCAGCACAACCCACGGGAGGGTGGGCTGGAGCGTGGCCACAGCTGGCAGGGAGCGTTCGGCCAGCGCACAGCGCTGGTGGCACGTGCTCCAGTCCCTGCTGCAGGAGGGCCAAGCAGCCCCGGCCCTGAGTGGCAGTGGGCAGCTCAGGTCACTGTGGAGGGCAGCTCAGGCTGCTGTGGCCACCACGCAACACAGGCAGCAAGCCACAGGGCAGCAGGGACAGGAGGCACAGGCAGCATCCAGCCTGGGCAGATGCTGGTCCGTGGCTGGATGGACGAGAAGGACAAGACTGCACAAGGGCAAGAGTTGCACTAGAAGAGTCAAGACCCTCCTCTGTGTAGCAGGACTAAAAACTAGCAGAAAGACCAAAGGGTCTGAGATCTGCTGGTTACAACACTTTCTGTGCTACATGTGCAATATATTTGTTATGAATGTTATCACAAAGTCGGTTCATTCAATACTCTTTTAATCACTGTAGCTAGATGTTCTCTGTCCATTCAAGTGACTTTTATTCGAGTGCAATATTTCAATAGACATGTAGTGACCTAGAATGCTTTGTGTTTTAGAGAATCTGTGTGCAGAGCAATGCAATTAAGTTTAAAACCTTGTAAATAAAACAGGTTGCAAACCAAAAAAAAACCCTAATAGGCTTGCATTTAATTTCTGTGTGTGTTTCAGTGTTGTGCATTAGGCCGCCTCGGTGCAGACCCTGTGTTCTCTGTGCAGGTGTTCATGGAGGAGTGGCTCCTCAGCTGTTGAATGCTCCCTGTTAATGCTTTACTGCTTTACCTGTATTCATTTTTCTAGACTCCTGTCTGCACAAAATGCAATAAATGATTTTATTACACCCTTCACTACTTGCACGGGGACTTTTCACTTGCTTCCAGGTCTCCACAGCTATTTTGCACCATTTCCGTAACATGGAGCAAGCCCTCACAGGGTGCAGATTGCAGAGGAAGCAAAGCACAAGGAGAGGAACAGCCTCTCTAAAGGGATGCAGTTCCCACATTTCACCTCACAAAAATCTCAGGTCACCCCACCAAAAGTGTTGTACCGGGCTGCAGGATTGTAGAGGTGGAGAAAGGGATCTATCAGGAGGAGAGACAGTAGACAGACACGCTGCTGTCCAGACAGCCTGTGGGGTGATGGTAGCACAAAGCCATGGGACACCAGTGCTGAAGGCACAGGGACTTGCAGCCCTGACCTTACGCTGGCTTGTGCCACTGGCCTGGACCTGTCCCTCCCACCGCCTGTCACCAGAGAGGTTTTGGACTCCTCACACTGGCTGTGCCACACCTCATCTTCCTGAGGCCACCCCAGGGCTGTGCAAGTCAGGACCTGCGAGGTCCACACACATTCTGCTCAGCATCCAGTGTGGAGCTTCCAGCACAGCTTATCCAGGAGAGGAGAGTAACAACAAACACAGTGAGTGGGAGTACTCAAGTATCAAAAAAATGCAACAAGAATTTTTTTGACCTTTTATTAGAAACTCATGTCCTCTTGTTAACAACACAGAGATAAAAGAAATGCTACAACACAAACCACCTGGGACAAAGAAAATCCTCTGCTTCAATCCACTGCTTTCTTAGTATCTCACAGCTCCCTGCAGGAAGCCCACAGACTCCAAGAAGGCCGTGAGGGGGAGGACCACACAGTTAAGTGATGTTTTCTGTTCTGGTATCAAAGTTATGTTCCCAGTAAAAACACAGTGAGGAATCACTGCCTGATGTACCACTCCACTGTCCGCTGCAGCTACCAAAGTGTTGGAAAAATGTTTTAAATTATGGTACTAACATCTTGGCACTGCCTCTCCTCCTCAGATGGACCAAACATCCATCAACAGCAAGAGGTCTGATAGAGCAGCATTGTCCCCAATACCTGGTGACAGGCTGGAAACTTTTCCCAGTTTCCCAGGGAGAGCCAGCAGCACGTCACTGTGGCTGCAGCTAAGCTACACTAACAGTGGTGCCAAAGACTGTTAAGAAAATGAAATTTACACACCAAATTTACCAGGTTGATCTTAACACTGATTACTCACAGTAGGAAAATTGACAGACCATTTGAAATCTCTGCCTTGGCTGGAAGTTCTTGTTGCAGATGTGTGCTCAGCCCACAGCTGCCAGTCTCTGTGAGTGGTCAGAACATCAGCCTCTCTGCCCAGACAGGGCAGGCCAGCTCTGGATGGACTGCACAGTCCTGGTTACGGAGCAGTGGTCAGGCATGTGCCTCATGATTTTGGCTGCCAGCACTGTCACTGGACTTAAAAAAAAAAAAAAAAAAAAAAAAAAGGGGAAATTAAAAAAAAAAAAAAAAAAAGAAAAATATATATAGTGCCCATTCCACAGTGGTGGGTGTCCAAGGCCCATCAGTTTGCTGCTCTGTTCAGTCCCCTAATTCATCAAAACTGATGATCCAAAACTACACTGAGACCAATCAGTGAGCCCAGACTGCACCTCAATGGGAAGGTGCACCGGGTGCTGGGAGTAAGAAAAATGCAGCAGGACTGAAGCTGCAGCAGGTTCTGGGATGGGACAAGACAACCAATGATCCAACACAGTTCAGCACATCGTGCCGTGGAGGAAACTGAGCATTCTGCTCCAAACATTGCTAACCAGACCAAGGAGAGGGAGGGCAGCGCCAGCAACCGTTGGCAGCAATGCTGCAGGGGGTATGCTCTCGCCAGAGTGGAGAGGACATGCATGTCCCGGGCATCTGTCCCCGGCCAAGGATGGGAGACTTCTTTAACAGCTATAAGTATGGAATGGCAAAGGGAAAGGGAATGGGTCCAACAGCTCAGCTCTAATAGTGTCGCTGGTAGGCACCCATCGGTTGCTGGGCTGAGGACCCCGCTCGCCCCTGGGCCACGGTTTGGCTCACAAGGTGGGAGAGTGCAGGACCACTCTGGATAAGGGTGTCCAAGGCTTTCTGTACACTGGGGTTGTCAAAGTTGATACCAGAAGACACCGGCCTTTGGGCAGGCACATTGCCAGGCGCAGGGAGGCGGGTTTGGTGCTGACCATAGAGCGGCTGAGGTTGTGGAGGAGCTCCAGGTCTTGGACCTGCATTTCTCGAAGGGCCTGGGAGAGCAGGAATCTGCGTGTTTGGAGTCTGCAATCTCTGCTGAGCCTGGTTTAAATTTCCAGCATTCATCTGTGCAGGCCGGGGCTGCCCGCCGGCCAGGTTAGCAAAGTTCTGGTTGGGAGTGCTGCCCGAAGAGCCCGCGGAGGCCGCAGGACCGCTGTTTGCCACAGCAGCTGCTGCCGCCCCGCTGTTAAAGAGACTGAGGATTTTTGCTTGAAGCTCCTGCTGAGGAGTAGAAGAGGACACTGGAACAGAAGGAGTAGACACCAGAGGCTGTGAACTCTGATGAGCCTGAGAACTTGGAAGGTTGGACTGACTGCCCAGTGATGATCCTGAAGGTGCCCCCAAAGGTTGTCTTGACATGGGTGCTGGGAAAGAAAGGAAAAGTGGTTAAAACTGCAAATGCCCTTGAAGGGACACCTAAAGAAAACTAATGAAACAGCTACCAAAGACATGGCATCAGTAAACATCCACCCTCAGATCACAGCTGCACAGCTCTGGGAGCCCAAACCACGCTAGAGAAATGAGCGTAGCAGCCCAACCAGTTATGGCAGTCATGCTGTTGCCCTAGGAGAATCCAGCATAAAAGGTCTTCCACATGAATACTCTGAATTGTCTCATGGCATGCACTGACACATCCATCTCAGTAAAATGAGGTACTACATGACGATGTTATGCTCCCAAACTCCTCTGCAGTCCCAGAACTCTTTTCCTGTCCCAGCCCTGAGGACCACAAACCACCCAGTAAAGTCTGTCTGGGGCTGTGGAACTTACCCTGCAGAGTTTCACTGCTGCCCCGCAGCAACCGTTCCTTCCGGTCTCTCAGGTAATTAATGACTTTATCCATCTCCTCAGCAGTCACATAGCGATTGTCCGCCAGCAGGTTCAAGAGAGTTTGGATCCCGGGAGGGTGACCTCCTCTGACACCCTCCTCCATGGGGGGTGGGCGCTCCCGCTCCTGCAGAATAGCTTCGTCTGCCATCTTGGCAGCCTGCCGGGCAATCTCCTCCCGCTCCTTCTCCCGGGACTCTGTCTTGTAGCGCTCGTAATTCCTTGCCACCAGCACCATGGCATCAGCCTGGGGCATGTTGCGGTGCTCTGCGCAAAGAAGAAATTCTCTGAGTGACCCGAAGGGACCCCGATGGAGGTGCTGTTCCTCCCGCCTGTCAGCACAGCCCAGTCAGCAGCACTCAGGGAGTGTGAGTGCAGACTTGGGAACCTCCCAGGCACACAGGAACAATTACTTTTTCAAAGCCAACAGAAGACCCACAGCTATCAGCCAGCAAGGCCAGCCTTTCCTCCTGCAGCTGAGGGCTCAGCCCAGAAATGTCTTTCTTGTCTCTCATCAGTTAAAAGGAAAGCAGCTCCCTCTACCTCTCATATAAATTCTCAGTTCTCCAGGATGAGATGGTCCCAGTCATTTTACTGCTAAACCCTTGGACAGATCCAAAACTTGCCCTCTGAAGGGTGTATGCTTCCCAGAGGAGAACAGCCATGGGAATACGTTTGTTTCTGTGCTGCCAGTGCCTTAACATCTTATGTGCACATGCAGCTGGGGAGGGAGCAGCACTGGCTCAGTGTCACATGGTTGCTCACATTCCCCACTCTTGAGGCAACAAGCAGCAATCAAATTCTTCTGTAATAAAATGAGTAATGGGCAATTTTAATGGTGGGTTTTGAGGTCATTATTTCCAACTCCCAAAACACACACATGAACAGTCACCTGAACACAGATTTAAACTGGGAGATCAAAGGGCCTTTACCTTCCCAAAAGTGCCCAAAGCTCTGGGTAGGGTCCTTTTAACACCTGCAGAACATCAAATCCTGCAAGCCTTTTCCTCCTAACAGGAAACTTGGGTTCATTTTAACATTAGTCTGTGCACAGACTGTGAAAGAGTTCCCTGAAACAAACGTGCATGCATGGTGGCCAGGAGTGGTTGAAGTGACCATATCTAATCTCTGGAATGAGCTGTGGATGAACTAACGACTGGAGTTCCCATCACGTCTGATACACCAGCAGATCCAGTGAAGAAAAGAAGCTCTGGCCTCCTGCCAAAGGTTTAACAGGTGTTAAACAAAAGAAGTTGAGAATTAAAACCAAGGTTAGTGGGAAGCCCAGTGGGAGTGCATGTGAGCTGTGTGTCTGCAGGAAATGAGGGAGCTCTCCTATGACATCTGCATCTGATGTTAAAAGAAACTGGGCTTCTCCAGTGAGTGAGCACACACCAAGCACTGAGTGTGCACTCAGAGGTTTCCTCTCCCAGATGAACTCACAGAACATTACTTGGGAACACAGTAAGGGAGAAATAACCTTTGAAAGCTCAGCTGTGGTCAAACCAGTCACCTGTGTGACTGTGTGGTCAAACCATTCACAGATTACATGAACAGGCCTACGATCAGGGCAACAACTGCTTTCCACCCAATCACATTTTGACAAGGCATTTTTAGTATCTACACCCACCCTCATGCAACAACCAAATCACACCCTGTGATGGAAAGTGATGTGACAAGTGTAAAGGTGCTAAGAAGGTGGAGCCTTGTATACCCAAACACTTTGTAGCTCTATCTTTTAATAACACTTTGTAGTTTTATTTTTTCGTAACTCTTCCCAGTTTCATTATCAAATCTCTACCATTACCAAATCCTTTTAAAATCACATTTGATTTTAAAATCTGTCCTTTAATTTACCACATTCCCAACACACTATTTCTGAGAGCAAGAAGTGGTAGAGTAAGGTTGGGCTGATATTACTGAGAGGTCTCCCAGAGCAGTGCAGCTCTGGGGTCCACGACTTGCCCTAACACTGCTAAGGCTGGCAGTGTTAGGAGCCAAGAACACAGATGAGATTCCCTCTTGGCAGGAATCAGACATTCCTTTTGACAAGGCACAAATAGAGTATTACGGAAACTTTCAAGTAATGATATTCACATTTATGACATGGTGTCAAGTAATTTATAACTACTTATGTGACAGCAAGGATGAACTTTGTCCTGTATGAGTCTGCCTGAAAGAATGGTTCAGAGTGACCACACAATTCCCAGCCTTGTGAGACTGTAGTACCTTGTGGAGTGCCAAACATGATGTTAACCGTGCAAGAACGGTGAACTTGATGCTGCTGGGTGATGACAATTGCAAAAGGAGACCCTCCTCTGCTCACATCGTCCAGGGCTTGTGTCAATGACATCTCTGTGTTGAGGAAGATCAGGTCCACTACCATGCCCAGGTCCCGTACCTTCCTCCCCACGGACTCTGCGTACTCCCTACCACAAAGCAAAGCCAGCAGTTTAACAAATCAGTCACATACAGGAACAGAAACCTTGGCACTGCACCCTCTCCTCCATCTCAGATTCGCTTTTCTGATTACTTGCCCAGCTTCATGACGTTTAACAGGACAGTACTAAAGCAATCCCATTATGGCAATATAAAAGCCCTTATTCTGATCTGAATCAGTCATTTCAGTTCAAGCAAAATAAATTACAAATCAAGTCTTAGCTGAGCTGAGAAACAGAGTGTTTGCAAAGGGATTTACACTATTACAAATTTGTTTACAAATAAATGCGTTTCAACTGAATTCATTAGGGGAAGAAAGTTACGCCAGCAGAGGTCCAAGGGGTACAGAGCAGAGAAGCCAACCTACAGAACTCATTTACTCCTGCTTTGTTCAGTATTTCAACTGTTCAAACATGCTTCATTACTTATTGGCCTGCTCTTTTCTATTAGCTGCTTTCTGCTCTACCCACTGCCAACACAGCATCTCTGGATCCACAGCTCCTGTATACCCTGTCCTACAGACTTCCCTATCCAAACACAAAACTCAGCTCACAAGGCTGAGCTTGAATTGCCAAGGGTTTTATTTAAGCCTACTATACTTAGCACCAAACCTGCACAAAAAGTCTGACAAAATCAATCTGTGTGCACCCACACCTCAAGAAAGAGGGTTATTTTATTGTCTTTGGAGGCAAGTCTGTAATGGTAATTAAAACTGTCCCCTCTTCTTCAACCATCTTTTTAAGAGCTTTGAAATCAAATGACTGTATCTAAGGCATTCAGGAGTCATCTTTCAACAGGTCTATAGCAGGCGAGATCAGTAGTTCAATACAAGATTTATGAACAGGCTCCAGCTCATATGGTTTGTAGCTGTTACAGACCAAAATGATTCTTGGGATACTAAGCTAATTCCCTGGCACAAAAGAAAAAATATTCTTGGGTCAAGCACAATAACTTGTGGTCTATTAGAATATCTTCCAAAGAATTTTAGCCACCAGGGGATAAAGGATCTAAAATTTCCTCTCAAGATTTGTTCCAATAGGTAATCAACTCCATCAGAAGTTTATTTCTAGTTTCACTGCTTCTCCTGTTTCTATTTCCTGCTCTATTTTCTACCAGCAGATGAGGCAAGTGCCAGCTGTCTCTTTCTGCCCCACATGTACAACAAAATTAAAGAAAAGCAACTCTTAATCTTTTCTCTGAAGGGTGAAGGAGACAGAGCTTTAACTTTTCCCCAACATTTTCCTCAGCTTACAAGCCAGATCTGTGATTTATTTACATATTTATTATTCTTTAGTATATTTAATTGTAAAGATACAGACATCAGACCGGTAACATTGTTAAAGCTCTCTACTACTGTGCCAGGTGTACCTCTTGTTCCAGAGTGCCTGCCCTATGAACTCAATAAGTGCTCAGCCAGCTACAGGAGATGACCCTGGTTACTACTTATACCTGCTTTTGATACCGTCCCCAACTGCCTTCAGCAATGATTTTGTATTTCCTGCACATTGGACTAATGGCAATGACTGGTGTCTGACCTAGGAACCAATCCAGCAGGAGCTCTGAACAAACACCCCCAATCCACCCTGACCCCTGCTCTGTACTGGCACCTGGTAGGCACATATTCCTAAGTTCCATATCATGAAAAACAAGTACAGGACCCTACAACCTGTTGAAATGGTAGGCTGATATGAAGAGTAGGTATAAAAGTATCAGGAGAAGGTATAGCAATAGATTTCAAGGGGGAAATACAAGTAAAGCACAAGATACATTTCCTCATCTCATCAACATATATTCCCAGAAGAAAAATGGGAGCTGTAGCTTCCTGGGGACTCTAAACCCACACTCCTCAAGAGCAACCTGTAAAATAAACAGCCTCAAGGCAGGACTAAGTTTAAATCTTCTACCATGAAATAATAAAACTGATTATAACTATTTTCTTACTTTGTCTGTTTATTCACCACTATCACAGAACAATCCACGGGTCTCTCTGCATCAAAACGTCTCTTGATTTCCTCATAGTACTGACGGTACAGCTCCTCCCGGCGCCGCTCCTCGCGCTTCAGGCGGTCTGAAATGAGCCGCAGGGACAGGACAAGTGACACCCTTCAGACCTGCTCAGAGCACCACAACTGTGGCACGGTGGCACCATGGCACCCTTCCTCTGAAGCTGTACAGGTACTCACCCTCTGGCTCCTTGTAGCGGTCGTAGTAGGAGTCGTCCTTGCGCCGGTAGTAGTCGTCGAAGCGCAGGTAACGGTCGTAAGATTCGTCTCGTCTGCAACATTCAGAAGCAGCAATGGTTTCCTGCAGCACCATCTCAGGCAGCGACTTTGGGCAAAGCATCACACCCAGACCTCCCCCAAATTTAATTTCTGAGGTACCCATCTGCTCCTCGTAAGATACAGAGCAGCACCCAACTGTTCCCAGGCAAGGGTGATTTCCTTAAACACCTGAGACCACTCAAACAGTTGTGTCAGAAATGCCAAAAAACATTACTTTGGCAAACAGGATCTTGGAGAGTTTACCTGTACAAAGAGTCCCGGGGATCTCTCATATCCCGTGGGTCCCTTACATCTCGTGCACTTCTCATATCCCGCGGATCCCTGTATCGATCATACAGCGGCTCCCGTGGGTCCCGGAGATCTCTAACATCACGTGGGTCCCTCATGTCCCTTGGATCTCTGATATCCCGTGGGTCTCGCAGGTCCCGTGGGTCCCTGTGGTCTCTGGCATCACGCATGTCTCTAGCTCGAATGTCTCGAGTGTCTCTAGCATCTCGCCCGTTCCTGCCATCCCTGCCATCTCTGGGGTCTCTCCGTGGGCTCCCCCGAAGAGGGGAGCGGTCGCGCCTGGCATCTCGGCCATCCCCATAGGCATACTGGTCTCTGAGGGAAACACCAGGGAAATTCCATTAGCCTGCTAACAACACGAGTACAGTTACCCTTACATCTCTTACCTGAGGTGCCAAAGTCACCTTTCACAGCAGCTGAATCCTCCCTCTTACCCCACAACAACAAACATCGACCAAAAGTCATATTTTTTAAGCTGTCTGGAGAAGGTTCTTAATTCTAATACTCAGCACAGCCAAACAAGACCCAGAAAGCTCCTTAATGGAGCACTAAGTGTAGAGCACCTGTGGATGAATTGAACAGGCACTTCAGAAACCACCATTTTAAGGCCTCTGACCTCCAACATCAGCCATAGATGATCTATCAATCACGTTTGACAAATTCTTTGAGAGAATTTAAGGTGATGTAGGCTAATACCCACATATTCACAATAACCTGGAGTGTTCAAGGGATCCATTAAATTTGCTCATCAATGACAGCAGGACACCTGAAGCAACGTTACTGGCACCTGATTAAAAAAGGAGCAGCTGGCGAGGAAAGACATTGCAGGTTCCATGTTGTGGTTGGATTTGTGCTGACAGAAAGCAAAGACAGCTATGGCCTTGTCCTGGATTTGAGGGATAGCTTCCGTAGAGAGGCAGCCTTATGTTTATAATGCCCTGGTTAAGAGGGCACTAAACCCAACCAGCACTGCATCCCCAGTGGCCGCAAAAGACTTCTCTGTTGGATCTGAATGATCCATCTCATTCAGACTTCATACTATAGTCTTCAGAGGCAAGGAAGAATAATGTTCCAGTCTTCATCTTTTCCCAAAGCAGTAGGGTTTTTTTCAGGTTGTATTCTGTTTTCCAGAGAAGACTATAACTTCACTGTAGTCAAAACAAAGCATTAAAAAAAAATACTGTGGAGAAACTATGAAGCTTCATGTGTTTGGACTAGTTTTTCCCCAAAATAGTGACAACCATCAGGAAAAAAACCCCATTTTTAAAAATCTTTTTATTTCCCATAGTTGACATGACTTTTACAGTCCTCAAACAGCCTAATCTAGTTTATGAAAGATAAACAGAACCTACGTATGCATCCACTGCAGTGCAGCCACATAGAGATCAGCTGGAGAGAACGAGTCAGATAAGCCCAAGTTTGGTGTTAGGCAGAGTAACAGGAAGGAGATGGAAGAGCAATCTGTGCGTGGATTTTGGTGTCAGACATCCAGCTGTGCTGGGAACACATAAGAGTGCTGGCATTCTCTGTTTGTATGTCAGATACAAACCAGATTTTGAGATGCCACCAAGAGCACACATAGCTGCCTTGTTTGACATAATGAATTTGCAGAGAGCCAGGTGTAAACTTCTTCAGCTTCTTGGACATATAAATCCACTTTTTGTTTGTGATCTGCATAGAAGCCACATCCTGTGAGAGACACAGCATAGTGCCCTTCCCACAAAACCTACAAGGAATGATGACTGAAGCTCAGGGGAAACTTCTGACTTGTTCTAATGGATACTGAGTAACTGATCTTTCCATAGGTGTGAGACCATTTAGCAAAACAACCAGATGCAGGGGAATTGTTTGGCATATGACATTTATTCCAGCTGGAGTGGGGGGGACCAGAACAGGCCACGTTCATTATCCGCAGAGACAAATAGATCCGGAATGAACAACGCACAACTGCAACAGGAGGAGAGATGTGGCACAGGCACCCTCAGCTCTTGTGCCCGCATGGCTGCCCTGCTCGAGGGAGACAGCAGCACAAAGACACAGCTTCCACCTTCTGCTTCCACACCTCAGTCACCAAGGTCTGACTCCTGCAGCATCAGCACCACTGCCTGCATCTGCCTGGGATTTGGCCCTGCTGGCCCAGCACCGCTGTGTGCGGCACAGCGTGGGGCTCTGCAGCAGTGGCAGCAGCAGCTGTTGCTCCCAGGCCACAGTATGGTCCAGAGCCCATCGATCACAGCCATGCCCAGGACATGATGACTGTGACCCCCACCACGTGTGCCCAGAGTGCTGCCTGGGACCTGGTGCTAACCCCATGTGATGGCCACGGTGTATGCAGTGCCAGCTGAAATCCAGTGCATGTCACAGTGGCACGAAAGCCTTTGGCTACTGTCCAGTCACGTCCAATGCTCCTTAGGACTGCAGCACAGGTACCTGGCTCTTGCACATATGCAGGGTGACATAGGTTGCAATGCCCGTGGCATCAGTGTCTGTGCTTGTCCCTCTGCAGTGCAGTGCAAAGATCAATGCTCATGGTACAGATGCCTGCCCCTCACCCTGCAGTGCTGCAGCATTGGTGGCACAGAGGCAAAAGATGTGCCATCAGTGCCTGGTGCTCACATATTCCCAGGGTCCTCCCACCAGCACCAGGTACACCCCAGGCCCAAGACTTGCTGCATCTGCCACAGGAATCCCAGCACTTCTTGGACCTGATGCCCACATGCTGGTCTCTGCAAGCACATTTGGCCCTGTGTAGGGTTAAGTGCAGTGCATAAAAATCCTAGATGGTGCCAAGAATTGCAGCTACTCATTCTCTGCTTTTTCGTTTTCTTTTGGTGGAGATGTCTTGCTAGTTGCACTTTCCCCTCATTTTTGGTAATTTAACAGTTCAAGCTAGTAAAGCACACTAGACGTGGCACCTCAGTTACCTTCAAGTCCAACAACTTTTTCATGGAAAGCTTTACAGCAGAGGCACACAGGGTGGATACCAAACACTGGAGCATATCTTTGTGTGCTTCCTAGTGATGCTGTGGAAAGGAAACTGAAGTCGTCTTCCTGTGACAGGCCAATCCGTATCTTTTCCCCTTGTCTGTGGTTGCCTACACAGAGGAGGTGAAAGAGGTGAATGTGTAGTGCCCAGTGCAGTGGGGGAAGCCAGGAAAAGCTGGAGAGTACAGCAGTGACTGCACAGGTGGGGCTGGCTCCAGGCTCTGATAACACAACCACATGTGCAGACAGGACCATGCAAGAAATATTTGCTCTGTCTTGTGTTTTCTTCAAGTGCTCTTTTCCAGTCTCATGGTAGCATTGGAAGCTTTCAACATCAGAAGAGGCAAGGTCCCAAGATTCTCTGCACTAGAAATGCTGCAGCCCCTTGGCATTCTCTAGATATGTCTCATCTTCTCTAATCCTTGGAGGCAGGAGCAAACATCAACTGTATTCTTCCTCCCAAGTCTCTTACAGCCTGTGCTGCAAAACTGAATGCTGGGCTGCAGTAATGGCAGCAGACACAAAGTTTCCCTCGTGCCTCGGAAGGCGCCCAAGCCAAAAGGGCTCTCAGAGGTGGAGCAGACACTTTCCTGCTGGACCATCACTGTTTGACTGGGGAGGTGGCAGTAGGGAAGAGACACAGACATTTAGCACAGGCCGCTGGGCTCACGCCCCAAAGGCCTGAATTCCTAGTACAACTCACTGCTTCCAGGTACTTTACCTTCGTGTGGGACTGGACCTTGATGAAGCCTTATTCATATTTCTTCTTTCCACTGCTTTATTAATATCTGTAAAGAATAATCAACCCATCTGTTCAATGCTATGAAACAAAAAAAAGATCATCAGCACAATTCAAATGAAAGCAACTTAAGCTCAACAACATCCAGATGGTGCAAGGAAATCCATTCAGCAGAGAGACATTGTCACTTTGACAATTTTTTTATTAAGTTTAGATAGTACATCATAATGAAAATTTCATGGATTTCTTTGACTTCAAAATAGGGTGGACAGCTTGGGTGAAGTTTTAACCCTGCATGTTCAGGCCTACATCCAGACTCTTCCTTCCATAAGAGAACCTCTTTCTTCTGCAGTCTATGAGCAAGCAGAAAGCGACTCATGGACTCTAGGAGAAAAAGCAGAGTCTGAAAACCTCCGAGAAAGGAATGATGGCCAGCACAGTCTTAAATTCACAGCCAGTCCTGTTCAACGGAGCATGCTGATACCCTTGTTGGAAATAATCCAAGGGTTCTCAAAGGGACACGAGCAACTGCCTTCCAAGAGACTGCTGCAGCATTAAAGTGCACGGCCCCCACCACTGAGAAATGGATCCAGGAGCCTGGAACACAGGCTCCTTATGAAGTCAACATGGTGCGTTCAAAACACCATTGTAAATGTGATGCAGACTAAGGCAACAGATCAGAAATTTGAAAACTGGTTGGCTTTTGAGCATCTCTGTGAAAAACACCATGAAGGGAACCACAAAGAAGGAAGAGAGCTGAAGAAACAGAATCTTGTCCTCAACCCACAAAAGTGAAGTTGCCCAGAACTGGCAGGGACCCACACTGTTCTCAAAGCCTCTCATGACAGCTGACTGAAGATGAAATAATGCACTGGAGGGGGGGCAAGAGCAAAGAGCAACGTGACTTTGGACACTATACTGAGATCCTTTTAAGGAAAAGAACCCAAATCTAGGCCCTATCTGCTCCTCCAGAATCTATCAACAATTAACATTTCTGATGAGTTACTTGCATTAACCATTTTCAAAGCTCTTACATGAGAATATAAACTGAATATGCTGTAATGTTGTTAGGCAGACTCAGTCTTAAGATCTTCTATAACATCCCAAACTATTCTTCATTATTTTCAAATTTAAAATTGTAATTAAGGGATCAGGTCTAATTTTTGTTCTTGATGTCACTCAGACAGCATGTTGCCTCTCAGAGGGGGCAGAGAAGCAAGTGCAATCTGAACATTAACTACAACTGCAGCATAACACCATTCACAGGACCCCAAAGCACCTCCCCAGGATCAAACACAGCTGCAGGGTCTACTGTTACAAACTACATCTGAAGGACATTTATTCTCTAAATAAATTTTCTCTAAATAAATAAATCTTTTACTACTAAAGATATGAAAACACTACTGTGCATTTGTGGAAATACTTGTATAATGCTACACTGGAGTTAAACTCTCCCAAAACTTTTTACCTGTGTTATTAATGATTGTATTTAATACTCAGACTGTATAACTGAAGTAACTGTTCTTGCATTCATTTTTAGTTGGTATTTTTGCCCCTTAAAGTCAAGTGTTATCTTTAAGCAAGACACTAGCTGCTTTCTTTGGTTTAAGATTATTTTTATTTTCTGTTTTAAGATGGCATTGAAGAAACCTATTATGATTTTTACACTCGATATCATACATTTCTTTCAAATAAAAAAGATATTTAGAGCTCCACAAAAATATTTTACTAGAAGAAGAAGAAAAAAAAAACTTTGACAGGCATCCTTTTCTTGTGCCAAACAAACACATTTAGTAACATTTTATTTAATGCCAACAGCATTTACAAGTTAAGTATTTTAACACTGACAAAACTTCGGGAAAAAAAAGCCCCAAAAAAAGTCTTCTGTCCTGTAGGAGTTTGAGATGACAAGGCCACTGTAATCACACAGTGTAACCTTCTGATCAAACACAGGTGACAGGAGTTTCTGGAATCCGTCTATCTCAAGTGCAGCAGTGGCACTGAACTAGTGCTTATCTTTTAGTAAAACATCCAATTCCAATTTAAAAGTCTTCAGAGCACAGAAACCACCACAGATCCAATAAATTACTCCAGAAGCCAATTACTCTGCTGTTAGAGAAAAGTCTTTATTCACATTTAAGGCATTGTCACACTTATGCCTACTACACTAAAACTCCCTGATCCCCAGATCTGTCTGTAACAGAGATCACATCACTCCTTTCTCTTGAGATTTTTGCTTGTGCTCCTTCTTTAATTCTAAACCTCTGCAAGGTTTTTTCAAGGCTTTTCCAATTCAGAATAATCCTTTTGAACCACGCATACCAAAACTGAGCACTCTTCCAGCAGCAAAATCCCACAGGTACCAAAACCTCCCTACTTGCACACCTGTGTTTTGCACAGCCAAGGACAACCAAAGCACTCTGGCTGGTGCAGACCTTCCCTGTCAGCTTCACTTAAAGCTCAGGTCTGTCTGTATCCAGGGCAGGAAGTCCAGGTCCTTTCACCATCAGAGACTCAATCTTCTTTATTTCACCCTTTTTGTAAAACATGTTTTTCTCTCCACATCACTTATAAAAGCCCTGTATGGCCAGGACTCAGTTTTTCTAGACCACCACTCAAAGCACTGAGAAATTCCATTGTGTTACATCTATTCAATTCTAGATTCACTTGAAATCAATTTAACTCTGCTGTTTTTAACTGTTCTCATTTCTTATCAAGTCAAACACCTTACAGCAATCTGTACACTAACACTACTGCTTCCAGCCCCAGAGCTTGCAGTACCATAAGAATAACTCAGACAGGATTTATTTTGATGGACATTAATCAGTTGCCTTCTCATCAGTGTCAGGTGAAAGAATACCTTTGTTCCCAGGCTCTGATGCCAGGTTCATTCCACTTACCCTGCTTAGTGGCTCACCTGCAGCACTCTACCAGCTCCCTGGAAACTCCCTCGTTTTCCAAGGCTTGTGGAAAAACACCAGTAACAGACCAGGCAGGTCAGTAGTTCACTGAGCCTCACTGACGTTAATTCTTTTGAGAGCTCTAGATTTGGTAGCTGCAGTTTTACCTTTTTGGTTTTGCTACTAAAATGGAAATTACATTAAACACATCTCCTGCCTCTTCAAAAACAGACAGCAGAAACATTAACTGGTCTTCTCAGTTAGAAATTTTATCACTGCCATTCAGTTACCCTTAGCTTCTAAAACAGCCAAAGTTGTTCCTATTTAAGTCTCTACATTTCGATAATGCTGGACATCATTTCTTGTATCCTTCTACCCTTCTTGTCTATTTGCCTTCATTTCCATCTTCAGGCTCCTATTTGTTACTGCACATACACCTTCCCACAGGTTACTATTTATTCCTCCTGTCATTCTTTTTTAAGTCACACTGTTTTTCTTCAAATTATCATAGGCTTACTTTGAAAGTAATTTTTTCCTTGCATTTAAAAGCTTATTCGTGGATTTCTAACCATTCATGTCCATTTAAGTCTGCTCCCAGCACATTTAGCAGAATTATCTTCATCTTTATTAAAATATCCTTTTTAAAACATCCAGTATTTATAGCACTACTTAAAGGCTGGCTCCACTTGTGCAAAAATCCCAGCTAAGTTTACTTAGCCAACCAGCCGCTAAGCACTGTGACCAATTCCTTTGAGCACGTCAAGATGAAGCCCAGGTTTTGGTTTACAAATGTTATTAAACTCTGTGCTGGACATTTCAATGATCCCTCTCCAGGCTCACTTGCTCCACAGTTTCTTCTCTGTTCTTAAGGCTAACAGACCTTTCCAAACACTAACACATAAAAATTCAGGCTGAGACCCAGGCAGCAAGGTGAACCACACTGCAGGTGAAGCACACAGCAGGAACTCAAGAGGCAAACACATTCTGATTAAATTGGTCAAGACTAAGGCCAGACAAGTGTCACATCGTGACCTTTCCAGAGGGCTTTAAAACAACAGCACTCTTTCTCCCGAACGCATGCTGGGGTCAGGAGAGCAAGGAGCAGTTTTCCTTACCTAATCTATACCCTTTATAAAGGCGACCCTTCTCACCGTCCAGAGCGGCCTGGACATCTTCTAGACGGTCATACTGCACGAACCCATAGCCATGGTACATGCTGAGGGCTGCAAGAGTTAACAGCAGGGCAAGACCGGTTACAACCACAGACAGTGCTGACCCACACCCGGCCACCGCTAACCCCACCAGCTGCACTCTACCCAGAAACAACTGTGCAAGCTTCCTGGGAAAATCAAATCCACCAGGATCAAAGTGCAGAGTTCAAAGACTCTGATCAAGTTTTTTCTGACAGGGCAGTGACCAAAATACAGACTGTGAAGTGACCAAGATTTGATTAAGAGGCTATGAAAGAGTATTGTGACATCACACTGCGACCCTAAAAGCTAAAACATAGCTGATATATTTGCATTACGTTTGAGCTGTACTGAAGGAATCTCTTTTCCAGACAAAATGCAGGCAGAGAAAATTATCATTAAAAGGTCACTATTTAGGAACAACATTGGTCACTCCTCTCATCATCATCAAATAGCATTTGACAAGCATGAAGCAATATTTCTCCCTGAAATCCCTGCCACAAAAAGGCATAAGATAATATACTAACCCCTGATTTTGCCATATTTTGAAAAGATCTCTTCCATTTCTTCACGAGTCATGTGGTCTGTAGGCAAATTGCCGACAAAAAGTCTTCTCTCTAAATCCTGAGGATTGGTGCTGTTAGTGAAGTCGCTCTGTTTGATGCTATTGCTCTTGCGTACTCGAGGCATTTTGCTTTCGTTCCAAATCCAACTCTTCGCAAAAAAAAAAAAAATGGCCATGCATATAATTTCAATCCATGACATTAAAATTAAACTGGAACAAGATTAAACTTAACAGCTTTGCAGACTAGAAGCCAACTGGGTCTGCTTGACGCAAATTTCACTCCAGAGAAATCCTAATATGAGGGACACAGAGGTCAGGCAAAAACATTCACTGCAGCATTCTGGTCGAGCTTTTCTGTAATACTGAAAGGTAGCAAACCTAATTATTTTGCAGATAGGTTTTAATGGTTTGACTCCAAACTGAGATACAAATAAAACTAATTTTCCACTCAAACTCCTTAACTTTAAGCTCTTCAACATGCCCGTTGTTGTCACATCTAGTTCTTCAATCCACTGACAAGAAATAATGAAATTTATGCAATATTTTAATAAGCGGAAACACTCATTGCAACATTGCATAATAGCACCCAAATATACCAGCAGGGCTTGGAATGAAGTATCAGGAAATACTGCTGAAATACTTGTAAGTGACCACATCTGGATCACTTCACTACATGTGAAATCTCAGCTTTCCAATCCCGGAAAGCACAGCTCTTTATCTGCATCTCAGTTAGACAGCATACCCTTGCCCCATGGAGATGTCAGCTCCCACAGCAGGCGGGTCCATAGCTGGGAATTTAACCACCCCCAGGTAAATGCTGCACCATTCCTCACCTCCCCCATGCAGAAAAAGCACATTCCTTTAGTTCACACAGCTGGAGCAGTCAGCAACATTCACTGCACAAACTCACCCAAACAAATAAAAAAAGAAACACCCCAGAAAAAAAAAAAAACTAACAAAAAACAAACACTGCCAAGGCTAACAAAAACCCACCATCCCCGGGATTCAGACCTTCTGGCTTAAAATTCACCTTTAGATAAAGCTTAGATAAATTAATAACACTGAAACTTTCAAGGTGAACTCAAAGTTTGAAAATTATTTAATAAAGTTGTTCTACTTCCTAAACATTCACCCACAGAAATGCAGGATGGGATTTTCTGATTGTAACATGCAAGAAGCTTGGAAAAAGAAAGATGATGAAATTGAGTGTATCAACAGAAACTTATCTTTTTAATAATGCAATGCCTATAACCAAGATACTCCCTAACAGTCCCCTGGAGTAAATACAATTTAAAAGTCATCTCTAAATAAATAAATCAAATATCAAAATAGATAAGACGACTCTATATGAATACTTAACTGGCATGAAAAATACATCTACTCAGATCTTAGACATAAAATGTATTTATTTATCCTTTAAAGATCAATAAATTTCAGATTTGTATCACTCTTGCCCCTTTTTAGGAAACCCTCCAGAGATGGGGGGCAGAGAACGCTTCCTTGTCTAATAATTAACTGCCAGAACCGGGGTGAGGAAAACAAACTCAACACCCAAAACAAAATCCAACAAAATTAATCTCCTCTATCATATTTGCCCCAGTCCCCCTCCAAGTTTGTCCACACACATACACAGTTTTATCTTCCCCATGAGTAGTAACAAATCCCATTTTTTTAATGCAAAAGCACTGGACTTCTATTCCACTACTGCAGCTCAAGTTCTCATCAGTTGAGGGTACAGAAGCTTTCAAAATTTCCTCAAAATGAATAAGAGGCAATAAAATATAGAAAACACCATCTAGCTCGAGATCCCACTCAGAGCAGAATGCAGTGCACAGGCACACACAGCAAACAGGTGTCACACACGCCTGTAGCTGCTGGCAGGACAGCTCACTTTCAGTACAAAAAGCTGTAAGAAATTCCCTTTCGTGTTCCTTCGGGGTGGGGATAGCAGGGGGTGTCTGAGGAAGAGGCTGCAAGAACTTTCCACGTTAAGAAAACCAGACAGCCATTTTCCAACTTCAAAACAATCAGTAAATCAGATGAGTTATCCCAGAACTCTCATCTAAGATAATTCACTGCCTCTTACCCTTTTCCACATGGCAGATTACATAGTTAAGGGCCATTTAGTGATCATAAGACCAGAATAAATGAATGTTGTCCCACCTCTGGGCACGCTACGTCAGGTGAACACCTAATTCCCACATTAAGTCCTGTTGTACAAATGCAGCCAGAGAGGCACCGGGGCACTTTAAAGGTGCCAATTCCCCGCGCAGTAACTCTGGGTCCTACCACAGGACAGCCCACGGCACCTCATGAGCCCACAAGCGCTCTGGAAATCAATTAAAGCCACATCTCTATAAAAATCTTATATTTAAAACCAGAGTCGTTTATTAATAACGCTACAGCCTCAAGGAAGCAAGACTGCTGGAGTGGGACATTGCATCTCATTTGCCACAAGCGAAACTCCGCACAAGTCTCCAGCAAGTTCAGGGGCAGAGCAGAAACAGCGGGCACGGAGGGCAGAGGTGCCGAGGAGCGGGGAGCCTCCCCCGGGGCAGGAGCTTCCCTCGGAGCGGAGCCGCGCTCTCCCCAGCGCCAGCAGGGCCCTCCGGGGGCAGCGCTGGCACCGCCCGGCCCGGCCCCCCGCACACGGTAACCCGGAGAGCGCCTCCGCCTTCCCCCCGTCAGAGCGCGCCCCGGCCGGCCCCTGCCCCGGGCCCCTGCCCCGGGCCCCGCCGCAGCTCCCGGGGCAGCGGGGAGGAACCCCCGGCCGGGAGCTTCCCCGGCGGCCGCCGCTCCCACCCGTGCTCCCCCTACCTCCGCCCGGGGCTGCCAGCGCCGCTCACCCGCACAGCGGCTACTCCGGGGGTGCGGGGCGGCCCCACCGAATCCCGGTGATCCCGCGCTGCCCGGACGCGAGGCGGAGGCGCGGCCCGCCCGCAGGCCGCGAGGCACGCCCGGCCGGCCTCAGCCGAGAGCCGGGAGGGACCGGGCCCTCAGCGGGGCTCGCTGCCGGTAGCCTCTCGCTCGGGCGCTCCGCGCAGCGGGGCCGCGGGCCCGCAGACTCACCGCCGCTCCCGGCCCGGTCCCGGTGCCCCGTCAGGCCGCCGCCGCCAGGACAAAGGCGCCACCCGCCACTACCGCACGGCGCCGTCGCAAGGAGGAGGAGGGGGAAGCACGGTTGCTATGGCGATGTAGCGCGCTTTACGGCGCGGCGGCGCACCGCCATGCCTGCCGAGGCAAAGGCCACTTGCCCCGGCTCCCGGCATGTCCCGCGGCACGGCGCTGCAAGGCACGCCGGGAGTTGTAGTGCCGAGGAGGCCAGGCGGCCGCTGGGTGGCGCTTTCGGACCTCGCGCGGGGGAGGCGGCGGGATCGGGATCGGGATCGGGATCGGGATCGGGATCAGACAGGGACGGGGATCAGACTGGGACAGGAACCAGGATCGGGATAGGACCGGGACCGGGATCGGGATCGGACAGGGACCGGGACCGGGATCGGGATCGGGATCGGGACCGGGATCGGGATCGGGATCAGACTGGGACAGGGACCGGGACTGGGATTGGGATCAGACAGGGATCGGGACCGGGACCAGGATCAGATTGGGACTGGTATCAGGATCAGACTGTGACAAGGACTGGGATCGGGATCAGACTGGGACAGGGACCGGGATCAGGATCGGGATCAGACTGTGACAGGGACTGGGATCGGGATCAGACTGGGACAGCGACCAGAATCAGGGTCAGACTAGGACAGGAACCAGGATTAGGATCAGGATCAGACTGAGACAGGGATCAGGATCGGGATCAGACTGCTGTTGAGACAGGAGTAGATGTCGGGGTCAGACAGGGACCGTATGGGGCTTTTGAACGGGACCGGGACCGGTGTCAGGATCGGGACCGGGGTGGGGATCAGACCAGGACAGGTTCTGAGACTGGAACCGCGATTGGGATCAGACCGGAGCCGGGGCCAGGGCCAGGACCGGAATGTCCCTGCCCCGTTCAAGGGGCAGCGTTCCCGTGCTGCACCCCTAGCCCCGGTGCCGCCCCGAGCAGCAGCTGCCCCGGTACTCTGCCCCGCTCTGCGGGTAGCGGGGTCGGGGGCTCTCGTAGGGGCTCCCACCTGAGCAGCTCCTGCCGAGCGGGAGCACGGGCCCCCGCTGCCGCCCGGGACCGGGAGCAAGAGGCGCTCACAGCCCGTGGCCACGGGAGAACCTGCTCAGGCAGTGCCCGGCGCCGCGGGGATTTCCCAGGCCAGGTCCACAGGAGTCGGGCCCAGAAATCCCCTTCTCTCCGCAGCCGCCCCCTTCGCCCTCGAGATTCCCCAGGGACCCTTCGTGCTCCCGAGTGAGTCAGTTCTGGGAAGTGACATTGGGCCGGGGAATCCAGAGCGCTCGGTTCCCAATTCCCGCTGCCCGCGGGGAGCGCGCTGCCCTTCTGCCGGGAGCAGCTGTGCCCTGGCGATGGCCGATTGTGGCCACCACCTCCTGCTGGGGCCGGGGCCGTGCCCGGGCAGGCGGCTGCGGCGGTGTGTCCGCTCGGGCACCGCGGCACCGTGGCGGCAGGAGTGCCGCAAGTGACCGGGGCACCGAGAGGCGCTGAGGAGCCGCCGTTCGCTGCCCAGCCACCGCAATGCCAAGGGAAGTGCAGGGAACGTCTCCGGAGCGGGCAGGGATCCTGGAAATTCCTTGGCGGTTGCTGGGAAGCCCTTTGGGGAACTGAGACGAAGGTACATCAACGTCACAGCACGGTTGCCCCTTCCCTTTCAGGACTGACGTGTTTGCGGGGACACTCCGCACAACTCAGGACTCTTGGCGGCTGTGGGGGGCTCTCCAGGGCTGCAGCCAGAGGGGCTCTCCCTGACCACAGCCGTGGGGGCTCTCCAGGGCGATAGCTCAGGGGCTCTTAAAGGCTAAATAAATAAATAAAAAAACCAAAACAAAACCAAAAAACTCTCTGAGCTACTGTTGGAAAGAAGAAGTGAAACCTGGAGCTCCTGGGGGGGTGGGGGACGGGGATGGGGGGCTGCACAGGCGCTCCCCTCCCCTCTCATCTCCTTCCCGCGGACGGCGGCCGACCCCTGCCACTGTCCCTGCCCCTGTTCCTGACTGCAGCCGTGACTCCGGGCCGGGGGTTCCCGGCGGTGGCAGCGCGGGGCTCGGAGGGGCCGGCCGGGAGCTGTCCCCAGCCGGGGCTGGCGGGGAAGCCCCGGGCAGAGCGGCCCAACGCCCCTTCCTGGGCGGGAACGGACCGAGGCGTTCTTAGGAGGGCGGCGGCGGCGGCCGGGGCGCAGCGCCATGAACCGGCTGGGGCTTTTGGGACTGCTCTGCGCGGCGCTGCTGGGCGTGAGTGGGGCCGGGATCGGGGCATGGAGCGGGACAGGGGCGGAGGGGATCCCTCCATCTCTGTGTCTCGCTGGGCTTTCCGGGAAGGGGCACGGTCCGGCCGCTCCGGCCCGTCCCAGGGCGCAGCCGCCCCCTCCGGGGAGCCCCGGGGCTGTGCGCGGGCGGCGTCAGCGGGACCGGGCGGCGCTGCCGCGTCGGCTCTGTCGGTCCGCTCTCCCGGGACCAGGCAGGGCAGACGAGTTGTCTGGACTGCCTGGTACCCTCTCCAGGTCTTGTACCCTCGCGCTTTCGCTTTTCTCCGATGGCGCGGGCCCGGCAGCCCAGCCCCGCCCTGCGCTAGCCCGGGGGTCCCCACGGGCAGGGACGGGCAGCGGCGAGCCCCGGGACCCTCGGCCGGGCCCCCAGCCGGGCAGGGCGCTTCTTTCACTTCTCGGTTGCATGTGGGCGGCTGGGACGGCGCCGCGGCCTCGTCGCAGTCCCCGCGCCGGGGCTGCTGGAGGTGCCCACGGGGGTGGGTGCGCCCGGCCGTGCTGGGTGCTCGCATGGCACCCTCGGCCCGGCCTCTCTCCCTCGCTCCCTGCCGGAGCTCCGTCCCGCGCCCCAGGATGGCCAGGCCAGTCTGCCGGGACCTGCGGCACTACTGGGGATGCGCAGCGAGGGGCTGGCTCTATGAGACGAACGGGTGCCCTCTTGTACCCTGTCTTGCTCGAGAGCTCATTCCCTGCCTTCTTTTTACCCTTCCCTGTGCAGGTAGTCCCCTGCCAAGAGGAGCAAGGGCAGGCTCTGGCAAAGTTTGCATGAGTGTTGTGTTTGAATGGGGTTTTCCTGTCCCTCAGGGATGGTGTGTCAGCCTAGGGAAGGGGCTGGCAGTGCTCTGGGTGTGAAAGCTTGGTGATCTCGGCTCCCTCTGTGAGGGACTGCAGTACTGTTGGCAGGGGCACAGGGTGATGTGCAATCACCTTATGGTAGGAAATCTGGGGAAATGTGGAGCAACTCTGCCGGAATCACTGTCACCCCACTTCAAAGACAGCACTGATGGCATCAGGCAGCGTGGGTGGCTGCTGTGGTCTGTGGTTAGTGGAGGTGTGGGAAGAACAGTGTGAGGAAGCCCTCACCTCAGGGTGCAGGTTAGCACACATGTCTGTGGAAGCGCGGTGATGCGGAAGCGTTGGATATGAATTCACAGGTCTTGTTTCTTCCAGTTTTGGGAACCTGGTGGTGCCTTAACATGCTTTGATAAGCAATATATATACAAGGACAGATGCTGCAACCGGTGTCGGCCAGGTATGGAAACCCTTTCCTAGGGACCTCACAATTGGGCTGTGCCAGCACCTACTGCCTGGGCACAGCAGAGAAAGCTTCACTTGGTGTGATGGAGCCCCTCCACCTCACTGCCAGCAATGCTGACAGCTTCGCCTCCCTGTGTCATCTCAGTGACAGAGCAACTGGGACCTTGTGGGTCCCGGTCCCTTGGATCTCACCAAATGTGCCACAGCTCTCTTGGGCCTGTATGTGCACTTGCAGCTACAGGATCTCACAGCAAAGGCAGCTTTGTGGGGAGAGTGCTGGCACTGGCACTAGCAATAGCTCCTGCTGTCACTGTCAGGTCATCTCCCAGTCCCTGGGTGCTGGCGTGGTGCCACAGCCCTCCCTCTGTATCTGGCCCCTGCAGTGTTTGTGGTCATCAGGCTGACTCCTTCAGCCCTGCCTTCCATACAGAATAGTGCAGCAGTCCTAGCATCCACAGCTGCCAGCCTTCCCCTGTCCTGCTAGCACAGGGAAAGCCCCCTTGCCCCTTCCTCACCAGCCTCTATTGCAGGGGAAAAGCTGGTCTCTGAGTGCAATAAAACAGAAGACTCCATCTGTGCCCCCTGCGAGAGCGAGCACTATCAGCCAAGCTGGACCAAGGAGAAGCACTGTGCTCCTCATGATATCTGTGAACGCAGTAAGTGCTCCCTGTGACCACTGACCCCAGCCTGTGGGGACTGGGGGGACTGGCTCCCCTGCATGGTGTCTCACCTTGTCCATGTTCCCTCTGCCCAGATGCTGGCCTTGTTGTGAAGATGCATGGAAATGCAACACACAACACAGTGTGCCAGTGCCGGGCTGGCACGCACTGCTCTGACACCACCTGCCAGACCTGCGTGGAGAACCAGCCTTGCCAGCTTGGCTCTGGCTTCGTGGCAGGTAAATCTGACAAGCTCTTCCCTCTCAACGGAACTTATACCCTGTCAGCGCTGACCTCAGGGAATGGGGGATCCCCCAGCATGATGCTCCCTGGCAGGGCTTTGGGAGAGCTGTGCCATTGCCACGGGGTGTGCCGCACATCTGGATTCTGCAGCCCCTTGCCCCCTCAGGCCCTCACCCCCCATAGCCCTACTGACCTTCCTGCCATCTCTGCTCCTCTTCAGCCAAGGCCATGGACCGGATGTCATCCCCCTGTGAACCCTGTGCAGAAGGCACCTTCTCCAATGTCTCTTCTAAAACCGAGCCGTGCCACCCCTGGACAAGGTATTGTCTGAGTACAGACCGTGTCCTTCCACCAGCCCCAGTGAACACATCCTCTGCTGCCAGTTTTCTTGGTGGTCTTGGGGACTGGGCATCAGGCTGGTTTGTGAGTGACACAGCATCTGGCTGGTGTAGGGCCAGAGTGAGAGGAACAGGGCTAAGAGAACAGTGCGGACCAGGGCAGCATTGGCTGAGGTCGAGGCAGACATTCAGGCACTTATGTCTGTCCTTCACCATGTGCACAGACTGCTTGTCCCTTCAGGGATGTCCGTGCTGTCATCCATGCTGGAAGTAAGGGATCAGGGTCAATGGGGATGCCCCATGCCCTGTTCAGGTTCTCCCTCCCAGTGCTCTCTGTGGCTGTAGTCATTAGCCAAAACACAAGCCCTCTCCATGGGGAGTTTGGCTTTGAGGGTGCCGTGAACTGGCAGGTCATCCCTGTCTTTAGAAAGCTGCTTGAGGGTTAATTGCAGTTCCTGGTAGAAACATGAGCCTTATTTCTAAGCTGAATTAGTCTTGCTTCAGCTGCCATCCATTGGATTTCACTTTGCTTTTATCTGTGCCCAGAAATTACTTCCCCACAGAGCCACTTGTAGCCTATTTTAGCTTTTCTGTCATAGCTGCTCAAGCCCTGGGGGCTTCCCTGACCAGGCAGGTCTGCTCCTTCCTGTGCCTTGTCCCTAAATTTGTTCCCATCCTCAGCAGTTTCAGCAACTCAAGTCCCAGGGTTGGTACCCTGCTGTGTACCTGCTAACCCCCTCATGCTGCGTTGCTGGGGGTCCCCCTGCTCGCCCTACTGGAGCTTGGCAGGCTTGGAGCAAGATGCGTTTTGGGGCAGCTCGGGTGCCTGCCCAGCCCCAACTATTCCCTGAGCTCAGGTTACCTCTGTGGTTATGTAGTTCTTGTTCTTCCCTGCAGTTGTGAGGAAAAAGGGCTGTTGGTGAAGGTGAAAGGGACAAACTCCTCGGATGTGATCTGCGGTAAGTGCCTGGTGCTCAGGGCTGACCCAGGGCAGAGCAGAGAGCACCCCAGGGCTCCAGCTCCTGCAGCACTCAGAAGAGCTGGCCTCATGCATGGTATTTTTGGGAGGGGAAGGTCTGAGTGCGTGGCCAGTGTGATGCCTTCCTGCCTGTCTCCATGAGGGATCCCTGTGGGGCTGGGGCATGACTCTGTGTCATGCACGGTCCCGTGGGTGCCTCACTGACCCTGTGTCCTCCTGCAGAGTCGAGCAGGCGCTCCTCGCTGTCAGTGCTGATCCCCATCACGGCTGCAGTTGTCACATGCCTCGTGGGTGTCTGCATCTACTGCCTGGTGCACACAGGTGAGGAACTAAAGCATGTGAACTTCTGCCTTGGCCGAGGGAGGGAGAAGCTTAGCCAGAGGGGCCATAAAGGGCTGAGGGGTTGAGCCAGGGAGGACAGTGGCAGCTCTGCTGCAAGTGAGGAAGCTCCTCTGGGGACATCACCAGGACAGGGTTTGCTGAGTCCTGTTCTGTCTTTGGGAGCACGTGTGTTGGCACTGCTGCAGCCTGAGCTGGGCCAGCTCTTAGGTAACAGCAGTGGTGCCCCATGAGTCCATTCTGGCTCCTGCTGTGACCCCCAGCCTGCCCAGCCTGGCAGTGGCAGCAGGCATAACGTGAGCTGCAGGACCTGTGGTGCAGCAGCACCAGCCCTGGCTCTGACCCCGGGAAGCTCCCTGCAGGGCAGGAGCACTTCCCCCTGAACATTGCTTTCTCTGTCCCTCTTTCCATCCAGATTTCAGACGACGAGTGCCAAAGGGGGTGAGTCTACCTAGAGCCCCCTCCAGCAGTGGGTTGGGATCCCTCCTGGGCACAGTGGGGATGTGCCAGCAGCAGAGCAGGGGCTGTGGCTTTGCAATGCAGGAGGGGTGGGGGCTGAACTAGACTGCCTGGCTGGGACAGGACAAGGGCTGGGACAACCTGAGTGTGCTGCTGGCAAGTGCTGAGCATTTGGGAGGGCCCCATACTCAGGCCTGCATGGGAGTGTAGCAGGAGCCTGTGTAAAGGCATGGGAGGAGAGTGGGGGAATGTAGCTGCCTGCCCCTGACCCCTGCCCCTGTGCAGATAGAGGCTGGGGAGCCCGGAGAGAACCCAGATACCCAGCAGCCCATGGAGCAGGATGAGAATGTCTTGCCTGTGCAGGAGACCCTACTCAGGGGCCAGCCTGTGGCCCAGGAGGATGGCAAGGAGAGCCGCATCTCGGAGCAGGAGATGCTGTGAAGGCGCAGGGCACTGCCTCCGACAGGAGCACGGACTGGACAGCACCATCTCCTCTGTCCCCTCTCCAGCTGGGGAGGAAATCTGGCATCTGACCTGGCTGCAAATGATGTGATGCTGCAAAGGACCATGGCACGACTACCCCACGGGAATACCACTACAACTCCTGGTCTAGTCACCTGCACAGGGCTGCCCTGGTGGAGCAAGGCTTGGCTGCCCACATGGGGACATGGAACAGAGCCCCATCCTGCTTTATGCCCAGGTGATACAATGACCTGGGTGGCTGCTCGCCTGCTGAGCCCTTGCAGAGCCCAGTGCAGCCCCTGGCCACAGCAGAGTGTCACTGCTGACAGGAAGACCCCAGCACAAAGCCCCGTCTCCCGGAGTGCTGGAGAAGCCAGGGCTGGGAGAGGGAGCTGCTAGTGTGAGATCACTGCGGCAGGGCTCAGTCCCCTGTCTGGGCTGCTGTGGAAGCGCTGCCCGTGCGCGGTGGGTGCTGGCATCCGGACAGGACACTCCGGCCCGGCCGCGGCCCCTCCGTGCCGTCCAGCGCTGCCGGGCTCCGTGGGACGAAAGGCAGGACTGTGCCGGGGCCGGAGCAACGGCAGCGGCGTGCGGCGGCCGGGAGATGGTGCTGCGGGACCGGCGCGGGGCGGCACCGGCACCGGCACCGGCACCGGCGCCGGCACCGGCACCGGCACCGGCACCGCCCGGCCCGCTGCGCTCCGGGCGGCGCGGGGGGCTCTGGCCACGGGCTTGCCCAGCGCGGGGCCGCCTCCGTCCGTGCGGGAGCGGCCGCGCCCCGTCACCCTCCAGCCCCTGCTGTGCGATTAAACGTGATTATCTGCCCCGTGCGTGAGCAGCCCCGAGCCCCTGCCGCCCACCGGCGGCCCCGGGACCGCGCTCCCGGCTCTGATGTTTCCGGGAAGGATGGTTTGGGAATGGGCGGGTGCTCCCAAGGCAGAGGAGGGAGGGAAGAGCTGCCACCAGCTGTGCCGATCTCCACCGTGCCCTCAGGCCCTCCCCAGCACACCTGGCTGGCCCCACTCCCCTGCGTGCGCTTCCCCTGTGGCTGCCCTCACTGACTCCCACAGCAGGAGCTGCCCCAGCACAGCCGTGCCCAGCCCGTGTCCCACGCCAGAGGAGACAGCAATGCGGGCAGGGCTGCCTGCAGCAGGCAGCTCCGTGCCCCTCGCCTCACTGCTCTGGCAGTGAAATGCACAAGTGGGGTCCGTGGCGCTGCAGGGCAGCACTGTGGGATGCTGTGGTGTAACAGTGGAGTCACCACGGGCTCCAAAGCATTGGTGTGGGGCTGCAGTGGCACTGAGCCCACTGCAGGCTTTAGGTGCTGGGAGCAGCCTCAGCCTGTGACCCACCACTATTTGAACACAGGCAGCACGACATGAGAAAAGCCATAAATCCCAGAGCAGGAGCAGCTGGAGCATGGAGCAACTTTGCCAGTACAGGCAGTGGCACATTATTTAAGGCTCCTCTTAAAACCTAATGTTAGGTTTAATAAGGGAGATAAAAACATGGCAGCAGCTTTCCCTCCTCTCAGGGCTTGGCAATCCCAGCAGTGCTGGTGGGATGGTCTCAGGCTGGGCAGCATTCCCTTGGCACTAGCCCAGAGAACACCCAGTTCTGGGGACAGATGTGATCCCGCTCCTGCTGGAGGAGAAGGTGTTATGTGAGTCATAGATGCAAAAACCTTTGGCCCCAAATATGAAGCCTGTAGTCCCAGATGGTTTCCAAAGGTCTCTCTCCCCAGGTGGCAGGCTGAACTCTCTGGGGCCACCTCCCCACTTTCCCCAAGGCTGACCCTTCCCTGCTGGCATGCAGCATGCTCAGTGCCCACTCCCCCGTGTCAGACATGTACCATCTCATTAGTGTCTGTCCCCCAAAGTGAGAAGGGAGAGTGCATGAGGCCTAATTGAATGTAACTAATTATTCACTCTGCAAATGCTCTGTTTAAATGGGGTTGTGAGGGACAGAATTACTCATTCCGAAAAGGGGAGAGAAAAAGAGAAAGACAGAGATAAAACAAATAGAGGCGGATGCTGGAGCTGCAGCTCTTTCTCTCTCCCTAGAATACCAATTACCGGATGAAGTGATTGTATAAATCTTTACCGAGTGAACGGACTGTACTAGTCACTTACTCCTGTCCTCTTATTATGAGGAAGCAATGAAAAACCATCCCACTCTCCAGTCCAGTTAAGGGTTCCCAGGTGCTGTCTTGGGCAATATCTCACCAGCTGGAGAGCTCGTCTTGGGGCTTTCTCAGTGTAGGGGTCCCACTGAGACAGGGCTGAGCACTTGGTAGGAGCCCACACCCCTCCTGCACCCCTAGCCCTGGGGAGGAGCAGTGGCTGTGCATGCTCTGGGGAGGTGCAGGACCTCTGCCCCAGCAGGATCCAAACCATGCCAAGCCATGCTGGAACATGGAGACACATGGGCTGGCCAAGAGCCCCCGTGTCACACATGTAACACATCACCCCAGGACCCCAGTGCCTGGCCCAGTGGCACTCCAGGTCGTGATCCCTCACCTTCCTTGTTCTTCCTTTCTGTGGGTCCAGCCCTGCCAGGTCCTTGGTCTCCTTCTCTGGCTTCTGCAGTGCTCACTGAAAAGGGAGAACACAGCGCTTCCCACCCTCTTCCACGCTGCAGTCAATGTTTCTCACTCAGGGTGTCTCTGCTCCACTGGTTGCAGAAATGCATTTATTGGCAGTGACCTCTATCACTCTTGCCTGCCACATCTTTTAATCCCAGATCCCTCCAAACACCCACGTTTCTGTTCTCAGTAGTGGTGTGGGATGGGAGAGGAGGTCCTGGCCATGCAGAGCTGGGAAAGCTGACAGAGTCCCCATGGACCCTGCCATCAGTGGGGAGCACCCACAATCTGGGGTCCTGCTGCATGAGCTGGTGGGGACCCTGCCAGTCCCATATTCCCTGCAGGCAACCCCGGATCCCCCTCACCAGAAGGCACCCAAAAGGAGATGCTTTATGGGGACACCTGGTCTCCACATCCTGCAGCCAGGAACAGAGAGACCCTCTCAGGGGGGCCCTGCATGTGCTGTTCCAGAGAAGCCACAGGAGTTGTATGATGGGTTCAGCTGGTGGGGAAGACAGGCTGGGCACAAGTCAGTGACGAGAAGCTAAAGCCTCCAGTCTGTCCTGCCTTGTCCTGGTTGCCAGCAGTGAGTTTCCATGCACTGGAGATGTGCGTGTGTGGGTGTGAGGGAGAGATAACATCATCATCATCATAACAAATGCAGTTGTGCAGCTCCATTCTCTGCTTACTGGCTTTCTTCTCTTTATCTATAAATAATTGCGGGGACACAATAGACTTTTAAGTCTGCCAAAGAGTTTGTCTCCCTCCAGCAACCGTATTGCTACAGTGCTGCCACCTTATCTGCTTGTAGAAGGATGAGGGTGGGAAAAATATTTACTGTCAGGGATATTTGTCATCTGCAAATTACCTCCGCCTACAGTTGGCAGCGGGGATGGGACTGACAGCGCCGATCTGCACTGTGGGAGTGTGAACACAGGGGGTCTCCACGCTGCCCCAGACCCACCTGAGCCTCGTCCCATTAGCTGGTGGGGTGGGCAGCAGCAAGCTGGCAAACCCACCGTGTGTGCAAAGCTGTGCCACAGGGAAGAGGAATACAGCTGATGATGCTGAACCAGTGCCTAGCAAGTGCCTTGACACAAAGGATCACCTTGATGGGACTGAGACATTAGACTCAGAGGTTTGCCAAGTTGCCAGCCCCTCCCCAAGCACAGGCCTGCACCCCCAGGCTGTGCAGCAGCCCCCAGCACAGCAACCCCAGGCACTGACCACTGTGAGAGCCCCAGGCCTTGCTGTTCTCCTGCAGAGGCCAAAAGTACTGGACACTCCACCACTCTCTCAGCACCCAATGTCCCTGCTGGCCCCGCTCTGGCTGCTGCTGCCACCCCCACCAGGCTCACTCACTGCTGGAATTCCTCACATCCTGTAGCCCAGAGGCCTTTGCACAGCACTTATCACTGCAGTATCCAAGAACCGATCTAATTGATGTGACACCAATTATTCCTGTATCACTAAATGCAGAATTAATGCATCGTGTGTACAAACCTCCTTAGACCCTGGCCATGAAATTATGACTTTGATATGAAAAGAGCCAGAGCCAGGGAGCACCATCTCTCAGCTGAGCCCCCATCATTGCAGCTCTGGCCAGCCCTGCTGGGACACCTTTCCTAATGGCCACACAGACCACGCAGGAACCCTGAATTATCCAGCTGGCTGCACAGAGAGCTGGTGCTTGTGGCTCTTTGCAGACTGGGCTGCAGCCATGGTGGTCCCACACAGACATGCCAACCCAGGCAGAACCAGCCCAAAAGTGAGTGCTGGCAGAGCTGCCCTGGCTATTGTGACAGCCAGCAAAGGGAGCTGTGTGCTCTGCAGGGCAGTGCAAAGCCATTTCTGGGCTGCTCAGCACAGCTTATGCAGACTGCAAAGCTCTTGGCTTGAACATGGACTGGTGCTGGGAAAAGCCATTCATTGCATTTGAAATTTTACTGTGAAATTAGGCTTTGCCTGGACACGCAGGGCTTGGCACAAGCAGAAGTTTGTATTTTGTAAATTGCTTTCTACAATCAATTAAAGAAAAGAGATGACTGTAGCCAGAGGTGGCACATGAGATGGCTCCAGGCTGGGGCTGATTCCAGATCCCTGCCATACAGCCCCAAGAGCAGACCCAGCCCAAAAGGAGCAGCCTCAGAATGGGGAGATAATGTGGCTGGGCAGAGCCTCACCTGGTGGAGGAGGAGGTGGGCAGCTGTGAGGGGGGAAAATGGCCCCATCAGGGGCTGCTCTGCTGCCCTGTGCCCACACTAACCACTGGGGTCACATGGAGCACATGGGAGCTGCTCCAGGCCTTTCATTGTGCCAGTCAGTGGCAGCTCAAGCTGAAGCCATCTGGGAGATGTGCCCTGTCCCCTCCCAGCCTCATCCCAGCACCAGTGCCCCTGATACTGGCAGCACACCATGGTGCCAGCACTGCTCCAGGGCAGCAAAGCAGAGAGGTCCCAAGGGAGCTGGGGGTGCAGCGAGGCACAGCGTGGTGAAGCTCTGGTACCTTTCCTGTCACATTTGGGCAGAGCATGGTGAGCACAGCATGTGTTGGGCTGCTCAGATAGCGAAGGGCTTGCCCTGGTTCTGGTTTGCTCAATGTTTTCATTAAGGGCCTGGATGATGG